GTTATTCTAGCCCCGTTACATGGTCCGTATAGACGATGAACGGTCTATATCCCAAGAGATAGACGCGAAACTTATCCAGTGCGTACGTCATGGTAAGGGGTCCCTTGTCATGCACTGGGTCATTGCGTTCGGCTGGTTGCACCTGACGAGATTGATATCAGACGACGCGCTCCGCTCCGTCTCTGTCGTATTGCATCAATTCAAAGCCGATTGCAAAATTTATGGCGTCACAGACTACATCAAAAGGTCTGTCCTGATCTGCAATCGCCAATATGGGCGATTGCATCAAGCTTTTCTTGATGCTTTAAAAGGAACGCTGACAATCAGCGCCTCATGACCAATTCACATCTTTCTTGAGCAAGCAAGAAAGATGTTCCGTCATTTCGACGTAATTGCGCGAGTACTTGTGTAAGTACGCCGCTAAGCCAAGGAACTTACGAAGTCCCTTGACATCGACTGGCACTGGCCAGTCGGTGATCGCCTTGATCTTCTCGGGATCAGGGCGTACGCCGTGTTTACCCACGATGCACCCAAGAAGTGGTATTTTGCTAGCCGCGAATATACACTTCTTGAGGTTGGCGTACAACTTGTGCTTGCGCACAAGTTGAAGGACTTGACGAACGTGAGTTTTATGAACTTCAATGTCCGTCTTTCCGTCCATAGCCCGACTATGGACGAACACATCGTCAAAGTAACTCGGTGCAAAGTCTCGCACAGGTCTCAACAGATTTGTAACACATCTGTTAAAAGTATCAGGGTCATTTCTCAGTCCCTGTGACATCACTAGCTACTCCCACAGCATACCGCTGGGGTGCTCACTTCTGTGTACGGGATTTCCCGTTCACGCATGAGGATCTCATAGAATCCGTCCATCAGATCCATGGACGAGAAGATGGTACTCTTTGACATACCATCCATGATTACGTCCTTCCTCGGTATCGGCGTCTGAGACGGTACCGTTGAATCATTCAACTTGTTGAATGCGTGCACTATCCGCCATCCTCCTGTGGACTTTCGCACACAGAAGGTCGGAGAGCTGTGGGGGGATGTTGATTCCCTCACATGGCCCGCTGCTAAGCGATCGGTAAAGAACTTGTCGATCGCTATCACTTGTTCACGAGGCAGTGGCCACTGCTTCATGACACAGTACTTCGAGCCCGGCTTGATCTCGATCTCGTGTCAAGTACCTTTGTCCTTAGGTAACTCGCATGGCACGGATTCAGGGAATACATCCTTGCATTCTATCAAATCCTTATCGAAAATATATGCATGGAGCGACTTCCAGGATTGAGATTCATATCGCTCAATCCGATTCTTCTCATCGATGACGCTTTCGTCCATCGATGAACTGCTGAGAACCCTCTCGGTCTCAGTAAACACCGTTGCCGATCGAATATCGGTAACGTACTCGTCCTCCGCGACGAGTACACAGATCTGCTTGACTTTGCCACTGCGCAGATCACGAAAGAACCGTTCCGGATCTAGCTTCGGCAATTTAGTCATCTCCGAAGTTAGTTTCGAAGGTACAACCAGATCAAGCGTATAAGCGCCTACGCTTGATCCATCATTAAGCAAGACATTCACTGTCTCAATCAATTCCTGGAAAATCACTTCCACAGGGTCCAGGAGAGCTCTCTCCACAATGTAGTGATCATCTACATTGTGCTCTTGTAAGGTCGTACTAACGACCGTACCACAAGTGAGGCTATCGCACTCGCTCGTAGTACACTCACGTGAGTGTCGGCGTTCCGTGACATTCTTCAGATCGTCATCTGAGTAACAAGTACCAGGTATCGTAACTGATCGATGCTGCCAGCTCACCCTTGGCTCGTATCTCCTGATCCAAGGTAGTCCTAGGGTGACATCAAACTTGTCATCCAGGTAGAGTACGATGAAATCATCATCGTACTGTTCATCTCTTAACGTGTAGTGGATTCCGACAACACGTTTCTTCACAGTTATCGATCCGCCTGTCGCTAGGCGCACCGTCATTCTCGTTAGAGGGATCTCCCGCTCCACGAAGTTAACACTTTCTGCCTCTAGCGACTGGCGACGAACAAAGCTGTTCATCGCCCCACAGTCAACTATGGCGCGAAGTGACAAGTCCTTTGTCACTTCCAATATCAAGGTAATGAGAGACATCTCATAACCAAGTGCAGAGAAACACAAGGACTGCGTGTCGGGAGCAACCTTCGTCAAAGATTTGAAAATTCTCTTGATGTTGCTGGATCAGTAGGGCGCTCCGCCCCTACTGACCCCGGCCATTTTTTGATGGTTGGTCTCGCAGTTGCGGCTTTGCAACAGCATCGGACCCTCTCCCTCCAGTTCTTCTTACTGGTGGACGAATACTGCGCTCAGCACCGCGAGGTCCTGAGCGGGGGATACTTCATTCATATGCGTAGTGTCCCAGTTTATGACAGCGATGGCATCTCACCATTCGCTTGTCATTCAGAGGGCGAGGTGTCTCGCCCTCGACATTACAGAGGTCCATTGGCTCTGGGCCTCCGACCGCTGATCGTCTCTGCGGACGAAGAGGGGCCATCGTAGTGTGAGCCTGTCTCACACTAAAGTCTTCCTGCTCCTCAGCGAAGATTGCTTCGGAGAGCGTCTTTAGCTCTCCGCGAAACAGGTGATCCTGACGGGACCATCGGACAGCCCTTAAATCAATATCGTGATCAACACAAACTCGCTCACAGGGTTCGCTACCATGCAGCTTGCAAGGTAGCGTACGTTCTGAGCGTAAGCGTGAACCTTACGATTACCCTGTTTGATTCCGAGAAGATCCGAAAGAGTCCTGAACTCTGCTCTGGGAGTCTCAAACGTCACGCTGAGCAGGGTCTTGAAGATCCTCGACGACCCAAACACGTTAGGATCGTGCAACTTGAGATTCAGGGCCTACTTCCTAGTGTCCCCTGCCAAGTACGACTGATCTAATGAGACTTTCATTCGTTCATCGTCGAGCGATGGGCCTCGATAGCATCGTCGACTTCGACAAACCATCTCAACAGGGAGTCGTCCTCGACTCCGTGATACTTGGAGATCTTTAGCTTTAGAGACCCCGGTCGACGCTCCCGTGTCGACTGCGCGGACTGGGACTGGCTCAGTTCTTCGATCCGCTGGTGATCTTGTTGTTGCAACAAGGTCACCTGCGCTCGCGACTCACCAAGTTCTCGTTGCAAGAACTTGCTGATGACGGAATGCGGTTGGTCTCTATCCCTTGTGGATAGCATGACCCAAATAGCTTTTTCGCCAACGGTCGAACTCATTCGTTCGATCGCACTCCATTCGACATCGCTCAAATGAGAGTAGATTATACGGGTACCGTGAAATCTGTCGCCTTCGACTCCGTCCAAAATGTTCATGTTGGGCGATGCGAGTGTGGTCCTTGGACGGACCACAAAGTGCTACCAGGTGAAACGGGGCACTGTTGACTACGTACTGGTTGACCAGTACGGAGTTTACTATCGCTGACTGTTGTGATAGTCAGTGCCCGGCTAGGTGTAGAATTACACAGAGGAAGGTAGAACGACTAAGGTGAAAGACTGTAGTCGTAGAAAAAGTAAAACTGTAGTTAATATAATTAAGGCCTATAACTCTTGTATCTCTGTTTGTCCTGACTTAATTATAGTAGTGTAACTAAATGTATGGTGACGTCTACTCACCACCCATTGCGCGCGTCTAGCAGCGATTGGTGGGTTGATATCATCGCGATATCAACCAATGAGTAGACCCTTCGGCCATCTTCAACAATATCATCATGCTATGTGATATTGTTGAAAGAATATTCATCGTAATATTATTTATTGTCATTTTAGCCTTAATGACAATATCATGTGACGGGCTACCCGTTACAACGTGGGTCGACATAGCGCAGGGATAATATGGTTAGAAATCGCCAAAGAGTGGCAACAAAGCCAGATATAGTGCGTTGTACGCATACCCGAATATACCTCAAGCCTTCTCTCTCTCTCTCTCTCTCTCTCTCTCTCTCTCTCTCTCTCTCTCTCTCTCTCTCTCTCTCTCTCTCTCTCTCTCTCTCTCTCTCTCTCTCTCTCTCTCTCTCTCTCTCTCTCTCTCTCCCTCTTTCTCTCTCTCACACACACTGGCCGTTCCATATGTACAGCTGACCACAAACATGTATCGGCCATTCGCCCACCCTCCATCGCGTCCGCCTGTCAGCGACCGGTGGATAATTTGGTTGATATAATGGCCTTTATAAATTAATAAGCGGAGCGCTACAAAATATTACCTGCAAAGAATACATTTTATTAAGAATTATTTCGCATGGTAAATATTGCACAATGCATCAGTTGTGATAATATTTAAATTGATCCAACGTGGTGTCATCTACCATGCGACGGGCTCCCGTTAGAAAAACAATTGTCGGCACATGCACGAGTCAAAGAAACCCGACAAGCACACAGCAATAGCTGCTACTCACGCGACAATTATAAAGTTGGCACACGACTTAATGAAAAATTAGGTGCATGTAAACGAGATGGAATCGCAGACTTGTGTACTTGATAAGCTTACCCAGACCTGATGATAAAAGCATCGTTGTCCATTGCATGAAATGCCAAATTTCGAAAGAGGCTTATGCGGGCGCATCAGAGAAACTCATATGGTGTTTGGGCGCAACCCAGCGCTCGAAAGAATTGACCCCACATGTAGCTAACGCACATAAGGACACTACAGGCGCAACAAGTACTTACAGCAAAGAAAGCCAAAGCCACCTGAAGCCTCTCGATCGAGATGGAAATGGTCAAGTGACAGACGCAAGGAGCTACAAGAAAACGTCCTCTTCCAACTACTGCCAGTCGCGCGCGAAGAAAATGAGGACTTCAACGACGAAGCCTCGTTTGGTGCTGCGTTCTACACCGACAGCGAGAATCCAACACAAGCGGACCATTCTAACGGAAGAGCGCAACTACTTTCTTCCACTTGCAGCTAAATGCACACCACTTCGCACCGGTCGCTCTGCTGCTGGTCGCGTACCCGCCTCACGTATTCGCAGCAGCAACGTCCGTCTCTGTGCTCTCTCCCTCGATCTTCGCCCGTTCTAGCGCGTACTTCGCTGCAGCATGAGGCAAAGCCGAGCCAAAGCCGTAGAGGAAAATGCCGACACAACCGAACAGCACGAGCTTGTTCCGGACGCGACGAGCCCTCGCACGGGCGTCCACGACCTCCACCACTGACGACGACATGCGCTTCAGCTTTGCAGTGCTCTCCGAGACGGAAGAGCGGACGCGATCGTGAGCAGCGCCAGTGGCCTCCACTGCCGTTTTCTGCACACGACGCGTCAAGTCACTAGCACTGTCGCTGGCCACGCGTTGCAGTAGTTTGACGTTCGCTTGGAACTGGTGGGCGGCACGTGTCTGATGGCTGCGGAAGCGGCGCCGCAACTGGTGCGCGAGCCCATGTGCCCCGTCGGCCACAGCGACGCGCGACTCGTTCGCCTTTCGCTGCACTGTCTTTCGCACGCTCACTGACCGCATCGCGCGCCGCACCTTTGGCGTCTTCGACCGTCAAGTGCACGCGCCGCTTGAGTTTGTCCATTGCCAGTCACGTGCACATATGTGGGTACGCAACACACCCAACGGACTGACCCGAGGCGCTCGAGAGTGATGGTCGTCTTCGACTAAGTACGGCCATCAGCTGCGCCATCCAGTCCATTCCCCACCAATCCGTCCTCCGTCGTCCCCGACCACTCGCCGCCAGTCCCATGTTCAGCGGCTTCGGCGGAGGCTCTAACCGCAGCCGAGCGCCTGCTCCAGAGGCAGCAGCAGAGCCAGCGGCGGGTACGCTTCCACAGCCAAAAGGCAACAGCAGCGGCGGCAATGGCTACTCGTTTGACCCGTCGGGTTTAGAACGCGCCGCCAAAGCCGCGCGGGAGCTCGAGAGCTCTCGGCACGCGAAAGAGGCATTCAATTTGGCCAAAGAGACGGAGCGGACGAAGCAGATGGAGAGTCAGGCGAAGATCAAGGAGAACGAAGCGCTGTACAAACAGTATGAGATCGTGCGCGTGCAGAAAGAGGGCGAAGAGCGCCGCAAAACGCTCGAGGAAGAGACGCGCCAGCACCAGCAGCGCGCGCAGTACCAGGACCAGCTCAAGCGCAAGCAGTACGCGGACCAATTGGCCGCGCAGAAGTACATGAAGGAGCAGGAGCTCAAGAAACAGGAGGAGATTCTGGCTCGCCAAGAAGCTTCGCGTCGCAAGACGCTCGACTATGAAGCTGAACTGCGGCAGAGGACTGAGATGGCCAAAGTGGCGGCCGAGACCGAGGGACGTATTAAACAGGAGCGCCTTAATCATGATCTGCACCTGGAAGAGGCTCGTGTGCGTGCGAAGGAGTACCGCGAGACGGTCATGGAAGGGATCAAGCTCGCGGGCAACACGATCGGATCTGGCATTATGGCCTTTGTCGACGACAAGGAGAAGCTCACGGCCACAGTTGTCTCCTTGTCAGCTCTGGCTGTTGGAATTTACACGGCCAAAGTCTCAACTGGTGTTGCAGGCAAGTACATTGAGGCTCGTATGGGAAAGCCGTCGCTCGTGCGTGAGACTTCGCGGCGATCGGCTGCACAGGTGCTGGCCAATCCCATTCCGTCCATCAAGCGCGTGCTGCGTCTGCAAAAGCCAACAGACGCATTGGAGGGCGTCGTGCTGGAGCCTAAGCTGGACGAGCGTCTGCGCAGTGTTGCTGTGTCCACGTTCAACACGAAAAAGAACCGTGCGCCGTTCCGCCACTTGCTGTTGCACGGCCCGCCGGGTACGGGTAAGACGCTGTTCGCCAAAGCGCTGGCCCGCCACTCTGGTCTGGAGTATGCTATTCTCACAGGCGGTGATGTTGCCCCGTTGGGCCGAGAAGGCGTGACGGAGATCCACAAGCTGTTTGACTGGGCGTCGCACAGTCGTCGTGGTTTGCTGTTGTTTGTCGACGAAGCTGATGCATTTCTGCAGAAGCGCAGCAACACTGTCATGAGTGAAGACATGCGCAATGCATTGAATGCTTTTCTGTACCGCACGGGTGAGGCCAGCGATAAGTTCATGGTTGTCTTTGCGAGCAACCAGCCAGAGCAGTTTGACTGGGCCATCAACGATCGCATCGATGAAATGGTGGAATTCCGCTTGCCGGGCTTTGATGAACGCGTGCGCATCCTGAAGCAGTACTTTGAAGACTACGTGCGTGCTCCCAAGAACTCGCGCGCCAAGAAGATTTATGTCGAGGGAATCGAGGACTCGGACTTTGAGGACTTGGCTGCTCGTACAAAGGGGTTTTCTGGTCGCGAGCTGTCGAAGCTTGTGATTGCCTTCCAGGCTGCTGCCTACAGCTCGCCAACGTCAGCGTTTGACAAGGAGATGATGATGCAAGTTCTGGAGCACCACCTCACGGCGCACATGCAAAAGGAGGCGTGGAAGGAGTATGCTACCCCCAATGCCAAGCGTGACGACATCAAGCCGATCTTGGCGGACTAAGTGCAGTTTATAGCTGGATCTTGCTTGCCTGAAGTCGGCTTCGAAGGGTCTGCTGCGACACCGGCGTCGTGACCGCCATTTGCCGACGATTGTGAGTGTGATAGACTACTAGACTGTTAGGTTAGTACCTGGTTCGTGGGCGCTACTCAGTTCCAGTTGCCGGGGCGGTGCGGTTCGATCTTCGTCTTCGCCTGTTGTGCGAAGCCGAGCGAGGGACTGCTATAGCTCGGGCTGAAGATGTAGGCAATGGGTACACACGAGAGCGAGGGCGGCGTCTAAATTGATCACGAAATGCTTCATCCTTTGCCACGTACGTCACTACGTTTTCCACTTCAACTTGATGGGAATGCGGTCTTCGCTTACGTACGAATCGAGATCGACATCTCTCCTTTTGCCAGACACACGACCTCACGAGCGGATCGACTGTCGTAAATGCTCGTGCGGGTGCGCTCGAAGAACGGGACGTGGCGCGTCGCGGGCCTCACGCCGTCGTCCACGATCGCCGACATCAAGAGCTGGATCTTCGACCAGCACGCGATCGACCCGCAGCGTCAGGAGCTGGCGCTCGACCTCCAGCAGACGCGGCAGACTGCGAACACACAGACGCTGCGGGAGCTCTGCGTGGGCCACGGCGACATGCTCTTCCTGGACTACGATGGGGAAACGGTAGGCACGGGGGGCGCAGTGGGTACTAAGATCAACGCAGACGGTACGCTCACGCGGGTGGCCTACAGCGACCGCGCTGACAAGCAGTCGTTCCGGCCGGGCATGAAGTCCCTGCGCGACATGAAGATGTACTGGACGCTGGACGAGTTTATGCGCCTGGACGCGCAGTTTGAGTTCAAGATCAGCGCGCAGAAGGAGCCGCACGTGTCGAAGGTGCATTTGGACGGCGCGAGCTGCAACGACTTTCAGGCCTATTTGCGTCAGTTTGCCTTCCAGCAGTCCCGCTGTGGCTGGCTCTACGGCTCTGTGGATGCGGAGACCAAGGAGGTGACTGTGGACTTTATTTATGAGCCGCCGCAAGAGGGCAATCCGTACGGCTTTGAAGTGCTTGACGACGCGAACGCGGACAAGGTCGACGCTGTTGCCGAGGCCCTTGGCTACGAAAAAGTCGGCTGGGTGTTCTCGCACCCTCCGCGCAAAGACGACGACTTCCACTTTTCGACTCGCGAGATCCTACTAGCGGCACAGCTACAGGCCGATGCAGGTGGCAAGAGCTCGTTGTTTCTGACACTCAAGGTGACGCTGGACAAGGAAGGGCAGGCAGTTTTCGAGGCCTTTCAGGTCAGCGACCTGTGTGTCGAGATGTTTGCAGCTGGCGCGCTGCTCGAGAGCGAGAAAAACCCGAAGGCGTGTGCTGTAAGTGGCACCTTCACAGCCCTCGTGGAGGCCAAGCCGGCACGTGAGGTGGACAACAACTTTTTCCTGTGCGTGGTGCCTGTGCTTCCGCATGAGTCCCCACTGCGGTGCGAGTTTCCGAAACTCAACCGAGAAGGTGCGTATCGAAACCGCGAGGCGCTGAAGGCGCAGCTGCAAAAGCACCGCAACGAGCCGTACGCGAAGCGCATCAGCGACTTCCAGCTACTGGTCTTTTTGTCGGATTTCCTCGATTTGCAGACGGACATCCCGGTCATCTGCCGAGCCGTGCGCGACTCAGACGTCCCGCTGGACTCGGGCTACCCGATTCTTATCGACTCAGTTGCGGGCTGCCAGTGAGCGCTTGTAGAGAACAAATACACTGTTGGCACCTGGCACCGGAGGAGCTGTTGACGCTATTGCGATGCAGGAATCGATCTAATGCCTAGCCGCAACATGGATGTGGGTACATGTTACGTCAGTTGAAGTAAGCGGTTGGCAGCTCATTGGCTCATTGGCTCATTGTCACTTCACGTTTGGTATCCCCTACTTTCTGGCTCTTCCACCCCGAACAGGCACCGCAGCCACCATCGTGATCGTCCAGTCGTGTTGTTCTGTCTCTCGATTGGTGGAAAACGTTCAGTCGGACTCTATTCTACGCACGTCATTTCGCCATTAGCCGCCGCCCCGCAGCGGCTCTTCCGATGGTACCGATTCGAGTCCTCGAAGTGGCTGCGCTGTGCGTAGCGATGATAGCGGCGATGGCCGTCACGCGCACGCGCGCTGAGCGTCGCAAGCGCCAGAAGTTTGCGCCGCAGCAGCCGCTTGTGATTTCCCAGAGCGAACTGGAGCTCGTCAAGGACATTGTGTACATCAACAAGTCAACGGAAGATGTCAGCAGCAGCAGCTGCTGCAGTTTCGGACCCGGACGCTCTCGTCAAGTGCTGAACGAAGAGGGTAACCAGATACTCGTCGTGGGCGTGTGTGGAGGCTCTGGCTCGGGTAAGACGACGCTCTCGCGGGCCATCATGGGCGAGTTTGGCGCCGACCGCGTGTCGTACCTCTCGCACGACTACTACTACAAGGACTTGGCCCACCTCACGATGGAACAGCGTGCAAAGCACAACTTTGACCACCCCGACGCACTCGAGACGGACCTTATGATTGCACACTTGAGACAGCTGCGCGCTGGCAAGATCGTGGACGTGCCCGTGTATGATTTTAGCACCCACTCGCGCTGCAAAGCGACGGTGTGCATGAAGCCCAACAGCGTCGTGCTCGTTGAAGGCATTTTGATCTTTGCCGACCAGGCGCTCGCTGACCTCATGGACATCAAGATCTTCGTTGAAACAGCTGCGGACATTCGGCTCGTGCGTCGTATGTATCGCGATATGAACGAACGCGGTCGCACGGCTGCGTCGGTGATGGATCAGTACATGAAGACCGTGCGGCCCATGCACATGATGTTTGTGGAGCAGTCGAAGCGGGTCGCGGACATCATCATCCCACACGGCGTCAATTCGGTTGCTCTCGACATGATCATTTCCAAGCTCCACAGCTTCACTGCTGGCCAAAGCTCATTAGGCAGTAGCCGATCTGGTAGCGAGCGGTCTGACTCCATTGCAGATGAGAAAGAAGTCGAGCGCATCTGATAGTGAGACGCGTCATGTGGGTAGGCAGGTAGGTAGGTAGGTAGGTAGGTACGAGCGCGTTTGATGTTTCTGACAACTTTTGGACGAGCGACAAGTCCGTTCGTGTGAATATGGTGTACCACGAGTGATGACTCGAAGCAGCGCCAGGTGAATATCGTCTCTAGTGAGTATCCATGTTTCTGCGCCTTTTGATCGTTTTGACCGTTGATGCTCATTGCTTTAGCGCAGCGATGTCGTGGCTGCATGTGTCAGAAAGCCGTCCACTACAGCTCAAGTGCGCTTGCAGCTGCAAAATAGTTGCTGTTGATGTGCTGAGAAGCCTACTAGAACAGCACGGCGAAAAGAGTGCAAGTGAGGTACGCGGCCGGCGCTCTCTTTTCTGTTAACTGCTGGCAATGCACAATGTGTGCGGCGAGTTCGAAATCCGCCGACGCTCACATCCTACAGCCGGTTGATTACGACTTCTAGCTCTTCCGCAGTGCATACGTGGAAGCCCTGTTCGCGCGTGACGATCGCCAGTTCCACGTTGATGCTAGTGAGCTTCTCCTCCATGTGCTGCTTTAGAGCGCCGATGGCAAGTGTCTCGGCGTCCTGCAACGTCAGCTCCTCCGTATAGCCTTCCTTGAGGTTGTTGAAAGCACCTTCCGCTCCAGAGCCGATGGCATGGGCCTTCACGGGCCAGTATGTGCCTGAGGGTTCCGAGAAGAACAACTGCGGGCCCGACTCGTCCACGCCAGCGAGCAGCAGCGCCACACCGAACGGACGGCTCATCTTCTGTTTGTGGTTGTTCTCGTCTGAGCCTTCTCCGAAGCTCAAGGCCAAGTCACAAATGGACTGCGTCAGCGCCTGCACCCGCACCGGCTCGTTGTACGAGAACCAGTGGTTAGTGGCTTCGACGCGTGCGTGATCGATCAGCGTCTGTGCGTCGGCAGTGATGCCGCTCATGGCAGCACCCACGTGACGGTCGACTTCCATAATCTTCTCAATACTGTCCACACAGACCCATTCCATTGCGACAGACAACGAGCACATTTAGACCCCGTTTTGCACAACGACAAACATCTGTGCAGCGATTTGCCTCATCGACGGCAACAGCGACTGATCTGCAGTCGACGAGTCACGAACCTGCTCGGCTCCAGCAGCGGTGACGTCAGTCGCTTTTCCACAGCGAGCACCACCCCTTCCTTGCAGCGGATACCGATAGCTGTCGTTCCCATCTACGGCACACGACGAGCAAAAAGCAGAAGAATGTGAGCAGAGCTCCATATGTAGCCATTTGACAAAGAGACAGAGAGAGACATTTGACGCACTTTGATGGCCTCAATGGCGTACTCGACTTGGAAAAGTCGCCCCTCTGGTGAGAATGTGTTGACGCCGCGGTCATACTCGGTGCTGTGTGCAAGAGACGGAGCCAGAGGTGTTAGTGGAGAAGGTCTCTGGGGGCGCAGTAAGACGCACGTGCACGCACTTTGTCTGGAACATGTTCGCTCTGCGGTCGTTGGCTTCTTCTCTCTCCTCCCCTCGAGATATCTTGTCGTCGAACTGTGGGCGACAAAAAGAAGAGCGTGTCTTTGACGGTACTGCGCCGAGATTTTATGGCCCTCAGCCTCATAGTGACATGTCAGTCGACTGAAAGCGGCGTGGATCGACTGCAAATTGTGCGATAAGCTGTTTGTACAGCATCCCACGACGATCGTGCGTCGCGCAAAGTCAGAAAGTTACAACGAAAGACCCAGTTGCGCGCTACAACAAAAGACGGTGAGCACCCACTATCTCCCTACTCGATGAGATCGCCGACACCATGTCGCTGAGCGGGCTTGTACGTTTTGCTGATACCCTTTGTTTTAAAAGTTGCATATGTGGCCAGGTTGCGAATTGCGTAGGTTGCTATGTAGGAGTATCTAGAGGACGCGAAAGGTCGCGTCTTTTCGGTAGCACAAGGCGACGCATAGGAGGCAGCGAATCTGTGTAGTGAACAGTCGTAGGCGACGCTAGAAAATGGTTGTTGGAAAGAGAACACAGCTAGCTAGCGCAAGCAGATCGACAGATAAGAGAAAAGAATGATATAATCAATTCCACCTTTAACATCTCAAGTAATTCCTTTTGTACAGGATAGGAGCCAAACGGCTTCTCCAAAAGACATGAAAGCAAGCCGACCACGGCCGACCAAACAAGGGCATCTCCGGGACGCGGTGCATCTCCAGAGCGCTCACCACGTGCTGCTGCTGTCGTCAACTATGAGCCAGCCCACGGAAGGAGCTCCGCGAAGGACGTGCATGGAACGTATGATGACCAGACAGATTTGCATCCAAGAGGACAAGCGGATGTGGTGGAGTTGTGACCACAAATTTCTTGTGACCACGACTCTCAACTGACTTACAGACGACCGACTAATGGAGAGGGTACCCCGATTCCGTGCTCTGTGTCTTCTTGCTCACCTTGTGTACCCGTCGGTGGAGTGGGTTGCGCTCTTCTTGGTGGACTTGAGTTGAAGCTGAGCTCGACCGTTCTAGGGATAGGGGGTTTATCGGGTGGAAATTCTTCACCCGGTCAAACGTGGGGTGGATCGAGTGGAAATTCTTCACTCGATTGCAAGTACACTTGGGCGCTCTCCCAGAGTCGCCTGTATCTAAAGTTGATGCTTGATCCGCGAGCCTCTGACCACTTGAGCCGTCTCGCGATCTTGAATCTGAACCGTTAGGTTCCCTGCGTCCTATTGCAGTTAGGGGGGTGAGAACCGATGTTCCGCCTGGACAAACAATCCAAAAGCAAATTTTGTAAAGACGCGGGTGACTCTCTATTCAACGGGAGGCCAAATTCCCTGCCCGGGAGAAGTCTGCGCGTGTCTTTTGTTGCAAATTCAATTCTGTCTAATGCCAACCAACCAAATCCAAATCCTATGACTATGCCTATCTGCTCGCTAGATCTCTGTTGCGTATACCATGTCTATGTCATTCACCTCTAGCATCATGTGGTCCACAGCAGATACTCGGGGGGCGGATCGCTCCGTAGCGAATCTCTAGGTAGTGGATCACTCCTTAGTGGATCGCTCCGTAGCGGATCGCTAGGTAGTGGATCACTCCATAGCGGATCGCTCCATAGTGGGTCGGTAAATGGTGGATCGCTCGGATAGTGGATCGAGGTATGTAGTGGTATCGCGGTATGTGATCCACACCAATTAGGTGTCCACACAACCAAGCATTACACACCTAGGGTGGATCGTGATCAATCTCTCGAGTCTCTGATCGGGCATCCACCGTCTAATCGCCGTTACGTTTGAGACCTCGCATGTTTGATGGTGTTGAAGATTTACTCCTCCAGCTTGTTTCCATATTCACCTATTTTCCATTGTCGTTAGCTATCCAATATTCCAGTTGATGTTCACCCCTTGATCGATCCGGCTTTTGTAACGATGTGATCCAAGCTCTTGATCGCGAATCACGATCGGCCAATCATCGATCCTTGACTATTCTCCATCATAACCGTTAGGTAAATTTACCACAAACTTTCCACAGTCATTTTCTGTCATTCAGTCGTCTGATACCATTCTTCATGATAACGGGCCTATCTTTCAGCGCACCTTACCAATAAATTCGATCGCGCACTTTATGCAGTAGGCGCAATCCACACTTTTTATCATTATTCTTCTGCGCTTCTCTCTAGAGGTGAGTATCGAAACGAGGACCTCTTCTGCAAGACGGCCAGTTTTATACGCCCAATTAGCGAAGCACGCGATCAAGCGGGCAATGACAAGGCTGAACATATGCATAGGACTGTTCTCAACATGGCAAGTGATGTGATAATCGTGTGCAACATGCCGCTCTTCTTCTGAAGTGACGCCGTCGACTATGCGACGTACATTCTGAATCGCATCCCTACATGTGGGAATGAGCGACGCGCATTGCCATACTAGGTACTAACGAAGGTTGTGCCAGATCTGCGTGACAACGTCCTGTTTCGCTCGACGTGCAATGTACGACGGGATGCAGGCAAGAACTCGCTGGACCCGCGACCAGAGGAGAGGCAGATCATCGTCCGCAACTGCGACACGTAAGGGTACCGGATATACCTCCTGAAGAGCAACTTTTTCATCATGACGCAGCATGTAAAGAATATCGTGACGCTTTCAGCAGAGCAGAAAGAACGACTGCTGCACGCGATCAGCGACCCTGTCGTTTGCAGGAGCACTAAGGATACGGCAGACATTAAGCGCGCCATCTGCGCGAGCACAACAAACATCTGACGCGACGTCAGCGAGCTCCGAGAACTCCGGTGCGTCTGCCCGCTTAACCGCGAAGATAAACATGGCAGCGACAGCCACACGTGACGCGTGGTGCTGCTAAGCGCGCAGAAGTAGCAGCGCAATTTGAGAAGCGGATGGAGATTGCTGACGTCGTCAACCTCGCGTAAGTAGAAAGACCCGACCAACTATGCCCAAGCGATACGCAGCTCGAAGCGCGTGGAGTGGGAAGTCGCGATGCTTGAGGAAATCAGCGCGCTCCAGAGCAATGGAGTATGGCGCGTGACGAAGAGAGGCGCCGATCAAATCCGCTGCACTCGAAGTGGGTTTTAAAACCGATACATGCGCTTACGGCGAACTGGAACGTCACAAAGCACGGCTCGTTGCTTGAGACAACGAGTAAGTGCTGGGCGTGTACCACAACTTCACCTTCGCAGCGGTGATGGATATCAGCACAGACAAGGTCGTGTTGGCGCTCGCGGCGTCTTGGGGTGTGCCGTCCAAGTATGGCGACATCCCAAATGTCTATGCAAAGGCAGAAAAGGAGGCACACCTCGATATCTATCTGTCGGTGTCGCGTGGCATGGATGTCTCGGGCGACACACTGCGCGATATCGGCTTCACGCACTCAGGCAAGGTAGTACTTGATCTTCGCAAGATCTTGTATGGGTTCAAGCAAGCAGAAAGCATCTGGCGTCTGCTGATTTATGCTCGGCTTACGGAAACCGGTTTTGTGCGGTGCTTCATGACATGCGGCTTTATTACAAGCGAGATGGCTACCAGCTCTTCAAAGTCTGGGTATACGTCGGCATAATGTTGGTGACAGTTCTGATATCCGCGGAAGTGGAGAAGATCTTCACTTGATTGGCGATGTGGATAAGTGATCACGAGATTTAACCGTGGCGTTGATCGAGGGACGGGATCAGACGACTTAATGGCAATAAATGATTGTGGAAAGTTTGTGGTAAAATTACCTAACGGTTATGATGGAGAATCGTCAAGGATCGATGATTGGCCGATCGTGATTCGCGATCAAGAGCTTGGATCACATCGTTACAAAAGCCGGATCGATCAAGGGGTGAACATCAACTGGAATATTGGATAGCTAACGACAATGGAAAATAGGTGAATATGGAAACAAGCTGGAGGAGTAAATCTTCAACACCATCAAACATGCGAGGTCTCAAACGTAACGGCGATTAGACGGTGGATGCCCGATCAGAGACTCGAGAGATTGATCACGATCCACCCTAGGTGTGTAATGCTTGGTTGTGTGGACACCTAATTGTGTGGATCACATACCGCGATACACTACATACCTCGATCCACTATCCGAGCGATCCACCATTTACCGACCCACTATGGAGCGATCCACTATGGAGTGATCCACTACCTAGCGATCCGCTACGGAGCGATCCACTAAGGAGTGATCCACTACCTAGAGATTCGCTACGGAGCGATCCACCATTTACCCGACCCACTATGGAGCGATCCACTAAGGAGTGATCCACTACCTAGCAATCCGCTACGGAGCGATCCGCCCCCCGAGTATCTGCTGTGGACCACATGATGCTAGAGGTGAATGACATAGACATGGTATACGCAACAGAGATCTAGCGAGCAGATAGGCATAGTCATAGGATTTGGATTTGGTTGGTTGGCATTAGACAGAATTGAATTTGCAACAAAAGACACGCGCAGACTTCTCCCGGGCAGGGAATTTGGCCTCCCGTTGAATAGAGAGTCACCCGCGTCTTTACAAAATTTGCTTTTGGATTGTTTGTCCAGGCGGAACATCGGTTCTCACCCCCCTTAACTGCAATAGGACGCAGGGAACCTAACGGTTCAGATTCAAGATCGCGAGACGGCTCAAGTGGTCAGAGGCTCGCGGATCAAGCATCAACTTTAGATACAGGCGACTCTGGGAGAGCGCCCAAGTGTACTTGCAATCGAGTGAAGAATTTCCACTCGATCCACCCCACGTTTGACCGGGTGAAGAATTTCCACCCGATAAACCCCCTATCCCTAGAACGGTCGAGCTCAGCTTCAACTCAAGTCCACCAAGAAGAGCGCAACCCACTCCACCGACGGGTACACAAGGTGAGCAAGAAGACACAGAGCACGGAATCGGGGTACCCTCTCCGTTAGTCGGTCGTCTGGGAGTCAGTGAAGAGTCGTGGATCACAAGGAATTTGTGATCACCACTCCGCCACACAAACGTATCACTGAGCAGGGTCTTGAAGGGTTTATAACGACCCAAACACGTATGTGTAGTGCAACTTGAGCTGTAGGGCCTACTTCCTGGAGCACCCTGTCAAGTATGACCGAGCAAATGCGACTTGCGATCGCTCATCGTCGATTCGATGGGCTTCGATGGCACCATTTACCTCGACGAACCATTGTAACGGAGGCTCTCCCTCAACTTCTCGGTACTTGAAGATCTTAAACTTAAGACGTTCCCGTCGATGTTCACGCGTCGACTCTGCGCACTGCGGATGGTGCTGTCTTGAAGTTTCAGTCCTATGGAGATCTTGAATGCATCACGGTCACCTGCGCTCGTGACTCGTCACGTTTTAGTCTGTAACGGGGCAGCCCGTTACATGGAAATTTTCATTTGAGAGATAATGACAATAAAGAATATTATGTTGAATATTCGTTATAACAATATCACCAATAGTGGTGATATTGATGGGTCGACCGAAGATTCTGCTCATTGGTTGATATCTTGACGATATCAACCCACCAATCGCCGCAAGACGCGCGCAATGAGCGGTGACGAGACGTCGTCATACATTCAGTAAGATTAGTATAATTAAATTAAGTCAAACAGAGAGACAGTGGTTAAAGACTTAATTATATTAATATAACAGTTCTACTTTTCCCTAAGACAGTGTTGCCCCTGACTTACCTACCGCTTCCTCGGTTGCCTCGTGTACGCTTGTCGGTGCACGATAGCCCTTGCGTTAAGTTCACGCAAGGGTTTGCCCCGTTACACTAGTTGCAAGAACTTGCTGATGACGGCATGCGGTTGGTCTCTATCTCTTGTAGAATAGCATGACCCAGATAGCTTCTTCGCCAACGGTCGTACTCAGTTGTTCGATCGCACTCCATTCGACATCGCTCAAATGAGAGTAGCTTTTACGACTACCGTAAAATCTGTCGCCTTCGACTTCGTCCAACATATTCATGTTAAGCGATGCGAGTGTGGTCCTTGGACGGACTTCGAAGTGCTTCCAGGTGTATCGGGGCACTGATGACAACGTACTGGTTGACCAGTACGGAGCTCACTTCCACTGACAACAGTGATAGTCAGTGCCCTGCTATGTATTACACTATACAGAGGAATGTGAGCGACAAAATTAAAGAATTTAGTCGTGGTAAAAGTTAAACTGTTATTTAATATATATTAAGTCCTATCAATTTTTGTTCTTAATTTGTCTTGACTTAATTATATTAATCTAACGAAATGTATGATGACTTCTACTCACCACCCATTGCGCGCGTCTAGCAGCGATTTGTGAGTTAATATAGTCACGATATCAACCAATGAGTAGACCCTTCGGTTATCTCAACAATATCACTGTGCTTTGTGATATTGTTAAAAGAATATGCAACGTAATATTCTTTGTTGCCCTTTTCTTCTTAGCGACCATTTCATGTAACAGGCTAACCAGTTACATCAAGTGCTTCCTTTTGTACACTTTGTCATTTAACTACTGCGATTGGAATCTGGTTCATACGCCTTCGTCTCAACTTGTTGTGAGGTGTAGAAGCATCCCATGGCGAGGAATGTCGTGCTTGTTTTTTCATTGACGTTCATCCTCACTGGTACAAGCGACATGGCATCTTAGGGCCTTCTGCAAACATTGTCAGTTGAGACCCAAAGTCTTCGCAAACATCGTCGATTGAGACTACGAAATGAGCTTACGATGACGACGAGAACAGTGTTAGCATTAACAATGGGTTGTCGTCTATGTCAACTTGATAACCGTGACGATGAATCTAGTAATGAAGAGAAAGGTCATATCTGTGCCTTGCAACATTGCGTCAGGTCTTTGCTCGGAGCGGCGTGGATTCATTGTGATGCCGCTGGCACATGTTCGTAATTGCCTGTGACCGGTGACCTTCACCAGTACGCAGAGTAGTCGGTAACGTACTCTGCCGTAGCAGTACATGTCTGCAGCTTTCACAAAGAAGCAATGAGTCGTGGATTGTCGTCACGCTGTCATATATGTGGATTGTCGTCACGCTGTCATATATGTGGATTGTCGTCACGCTGTCATAAATGTGGATTCATCTAGAGCTTCTGCGCTCGGTGGACCAAATGTGAGCGGGCGACAGCACATCCCGACACAAAAGAAAAAGCACATATCAAGAGATATATGGCCCTTAATCGAACTAAGAGTTGCAAATGCCGAACTTTGAAACAATCACAGCTGTATTTTGCTTGCCGCTATGCACAATCGACGCTCAGCTTGTAGCGATGTGCCTACTATATCAGCTATAAGCGCTCGGTACATGTCTTGAAGTCCGCACGAAAGCCTTTGTAGGTCCCGTCACGACAGTTGTGGGATAAACCACTGAAAGCACAATATGTGGCGAGATAAGCACTAAGGAGTCGTTTTTCGAAGTAACGGTCATCGGTCATTGTCAGTACGGTGTAAGTGGCCATTAGCTGCCTCCGCGCTGGACACTGTCCGAATCGCTCATCCTTGCGGGCAAGCGCAGTAGCACGTCACATTGTGCAAATAGTCAGCATTCGGGTCAAGACGTCCGAAGTTGTTGGCCGATCGGTACGTGCGCTGCGCACAGAATGAGGATACGTCCGACACCACAGTACCCAGAGAGCGTGATCATTATTCACACAGCCGTGTTCAAGCTACTTGCTTGCTTCTTTGCACCACCGACCGCGCGATCGTAAAGCGTCGATCTGGACGCAGTGGCATCAAGACAGCCAATATCGAACGGGCGGGCGGGGTGTGTGCATAAGCGTATGACACCACGACGAAGTAACGCACGCACCCAACTTCTCGCTGACGTGATTTCCCTAAGGTCAGCTCGTGCGAAAAGAGCTGAAAGAAAAGACTGATGTCGGCTTGCGATGCTCTGAAGTATGGCAGTTTACGCAGTAGCACTGACGTACAATACAACGATAGATGTTACTGCGCGCAATGGAGTCGGATCGGTGAGTGCCCATTGCGTTTACCGTTTGCTCGCCGAATGTTCGCCGCCGTTTTGGTTTCATACCATTTGGTAAAAGCTGCTGAGATAACGCGGTCGATTGTCGAGGAATTCGACGCGTACGCCGTAACGTCCCATGCGTTCGTCCCAAACAACAACAACAACAAACACACTGACAATTGGTTCCCCACAGAGACTCAAGCGGCTCCACTATCCCGTGCTTTATTTACATCACCACCGTCGTCGCCTTCCATTTGCTTCTTCCCACCTCAGTTCTCGCTTGTCTTCCAGCGTCTGATCAGTAGTAAGCAGCGACCATTTGGATTTCCAGTCGTCACCACTTCTCCATAACTAAGGCACACACTGGCCGGGACTTCAATGGGTGTTGACAAGATGCTGATGCGCGACCTGGAAGACGTTTTCGTGCCCACCTCAACGAAAGTGCCAATGCGCGAAGAGCAGCCACAGGACAGCGATGATTGCCTCACGTGCGTGGCTCCGGCCCCGCAGTCCTTCAACAAGTGGCTCACGGTAGCGATCTCCGAGGAAGACGCTGCGTACAAGATCCAGATGTTCCTGCGGGGTCGCCTCAAGCTGCGTCAATGCAGCTGCACATCAACTGAGCGCACGACTTCTACCACCTCTTCAGTAGACGCACTGTCGGTGCCGGAAGAGGTGGACGAAGACCATTTGCAGTACGAGATCTTGCTCTGGTACGGTTCCAGTCTCGGCTCCCTCGGCTTCATCTCGTGTGACATCACAGGCTATCCGTGTGTGGAAGTGGCCGAAGGCAACGACTCGTTGCCCGGGATGTGGAACCTCCGCGAAGGCGATTTCCTCATCGCTATCAACGACCGCAACACGAAGCGCAACGCTGTGCCTTTCGACGCCGTCATGCAGATTCTCGACAGCGGCGTGCGGCCGGCCGTGCTGAGGTTTCGAAGACCTGCTTCGCACGAGTTGCAGAGCCTGACGACGAGACCGCGGCGGCTTTCGACGGTTGCGCGCACCGATCTGCAAAAGAGTCGAGAGCGACTCGAGCGGTCCTTGAGCTACGTCATCTGGCGAGAAGAGGACGGCCCGCTTGGAATGAGTTTGAAACCGGAAACCGGCAAGTCCTATCCGGTTGTCACGGCCATGAACGCGTCTGGCGTAGCGGGTCGCGGGGGTAGCGGCAGGTACGGCAAAGTGAGTGTGGGCGATCAGCTCTTGACCATCAACCACCACGACGTGTTCCGCTTGGGGTTCAAGACGACGTGCCAAGTCATGCAAGTGGCTCCGAAACCACTCGTGCTCACGTTCCGACGCACGTCACCGGAACGCACCGAGCCTCGTTATCTCGACTTGTGACTCGAGTGGAAGCAGAACCGATGCCACATGTGGGCACGACCGTCGGCGATTCCTGTCGTCACCAGATACATCGTCACCTCGTTCTGACGTACGACGAAGAGCGCAAGAAGCCTTCCAGCCAGCTCTGCTGCTTGCGTGGACAGTGCGAGCGACCAGTGGTCCTAGACGTCACCGCCACCTCCCGCTCTCCTCTTCCCGAAACAAATGATCACCGCAGTCATATTGTCCGTCGACCCCTGTGCTTTCGCCTCGTCGAGCAGCATGTCGCCGATCGTGACCGACTTCTCGCCCTCTGCCAGGCGCGTGGCAACAAACTCCATGAGCTCCTCGTCCCGGAAGACGTCCGTGATGCCGTCGCTCACCAACACGAGGATCGCATCGTCCGACGCGACCTCCAGCGACTCAATGTGCGGTGCGCTCGTGATGAACTTCTTCTCGTCGGCCTGGCCCAGCGCCCGCGTGACAGCGATGGACCCCGCCACGCGCTTGTTGACGATGATGCCGTTCAGGTCGCGGATCCGCTTCACTTCGTCTTTGTTCGTGGCCTTGTGGTCCACCGACAGCCGCGACGTCTGTCCGTTGCAGCAGAAGATCGCTCGCGAGTCCCCGACGTTCGCAATGTGGAACGTCGTTCGGCCTTTGTACTGACGCACGAGACACGTGACTGCCGTCGAGCCGCTCTCGGACGACTCGTCAAAGTCCTGTAGCTCCTCGTCCAGAGCGGCAAAGGCCTCTGCGTAGCAGCGCTCGATGTCGGCGCTGCTCAAGACGTCCGCTCTGGCGTCGGCTCTGGTGGAGTGGCTCTTGTGGACGGATAGCGCTCGTGAGGCATTGTGCGCCGCTTGCAGACGCGCAGCGAGTGTCACGTGAAAGTGTGCGGCCGCGTACTTGGCGCAAAAGTCGCCGCCGTGGCCGTCGTAGACGCCGAAGAAGGAGCTCACGACGGGATCGTCGGGGAACGCGCGGAACGTGGGGATCGCCACGCACTCGTCCTCCATGTGCGCGCGGAACTGACTGTTCTGAGTCGACACGGCCGCGTAGTCGCGCACAAAGGGACTCGACGGCGTCGGACTCGGCGCTGGACTCGCGAGAGGGACTGCTGCCGTGGCGTCGACGCAGTCCTGTGGTCGGTCGAGCGGTCGGACGCCCGTGGACGAGTGCGTGTCTGTGAGTGAGCTGCAGGGGCGCAGGCGGTCGGCCAACGGGCACTTGTGGCGGGGCGCGGCGACGAGCACGTGACTGGGGTCGCGCGCGCACGAGCAGGAGCTTCCCATGGACGAGACGGTCTGCACTGGCCACGTGAGGACGGCAAGTGACGCTGCGCATGGCGGCGGCGGCCGACCGACTGCTGCGCGAAGGGACCGCACGGATCAGGCGGTGCCATCCACTGCGTCGTGACGGCCACTGGAAAGAATGGGGAAAGGGGTTCGCGGTAGTGGATTTATTTCGGTTGGCCGGAAGGTATTTTTTTGCGAGTTCGAGGAGAGCAGTGGGGAGTGCAGCGGCTCGAAGGAGCCGAAGAGAGTCGAAATCGTGCGACTTTCATGCGCATTCGTTGAGCATTTGGCACTTGTTGGCCCTTTTCACACGTGACGCTGTCAGTTGTGATTTGAACGGAGCGCGAGCAAAGTGATTTTGTGTATCGGTCTGTGACGTGGCATGCGTCTTGAGATGCCGCTGCCTTACTGTTGCTTGATCCTTGGAGACCATCTTCGGCCACAGTGCCGTGCCCGAAGAGCTAACATGTGACAAACTGTGCCTCTTTCCAGTACCTCTCAGTCGCGTCTGCTTGGCGTGAGTCAGCTGCATACCTGCAAAGGGCTTATTTTGGCGCACACGGCTGAGGCAAGACGTCGGCCATGCATCGTGTTCGGTTGATCAACCAAGTGCTGCATTTCTTCGATCTGCACAGACAGACCTTCAGTGCTGAGTTTTTTTTCATCTCGAACATGGAGTTGACCGAGTGGCCGACTCACTGCTTCTTCGTTGTCTTCGAGTTGATGTGCTCAGGCACAGTTCATGTGACGAGGCCAGTGGTACTACGGCTAAAAACAAACATCAATGCGAAAGAGCCGTGTCACGTGTCAATAATTTTCGTTAAACGATTCGATTGCTGTAGTCAAATTTAGATGACACGGGCTTTGTGGAAGGTCGTTGTACTGGAAAAGACGTAACGTATGGCACAGTTGAGGGAATTCGCTTGTCTCACTGCAGAAATTCTATCCGTGATGTGGAGCTCCATCGCAAAGTTGCGTCCATAATGTTTCACTCTTTTTGTGACGTGTTGGTGGTAAGGCTGCAATAGGAAAGCCTCGTTTTGCAATTCCTTGTCTCAAAAGTAAATTGAGGGGACTTCCTTGAGAATTGGCAAACACAATAAAACTGCACCGCAAATGACAAAATAATAGGGAAAATACATAACGTATGTAGTAATCAGAAAAGTAAATTGTACTCGAGATGAAAAAATATTCACCAATTAAATGAAAACTGCTCCATTGATGTGCACCACGCAATTAAATCCGAAGATACCTAGGATCCGTCGTATCCTTCCACCCATAACATATACATTCTCCCATTCAACACATCAAGTAGAACCCTAATCATTTCCTCCATCGACAGACGATTTACAAGAAGGAAAAGGAGTAGGAGCGACGAGCGTGATCATGAATGGTTTCGATCGTTCGATGGCATGTCCACTTGCTCCAATCTGTTTACTCATGTCTTTTGGTTTAAAATCGGCGTAAAGTGTAGCTGTCACTTCTTGACGGTATCGCAAAGCTTTTTCGGGATCAGACAGTGCAGATTCAAGGTGTACATTTCCAATAACGTAAAAACTGGTATAGAACGACCTTCAGGCAGCACAAGACGACAAATTAATGCATGTAGCACAACTGGACATCGTAATAAGGCGCTAATACGTACTGATTAATGGCCTTCGATGTGGAGCGCTTGCAATCATTTTAATAGATTGCACGCTTTCACAACACGCTTCAATGGATGTAATTTACCATCGTCACAAAAAAAGATGATTGTCACTCCATGAAAATCGTCTTATGATCAAATTCTTTGCAACCGTGAATCTAGTACTAATTATACACTTGAATGACGATTTCGCTTCGTGGCTTTGTCATTCATGTTAGAAATCCTAACTACTCACGTAATGTGATACATCCGCGAGACAGCCAGTGTCCAAAAGGCAGAATACGTGACAACCTGGTGTTGCGTTCAGCATTGGCCCACGTCGATTAGTAATATGCGCGTTGGGACAATGCGGATTCAATCGGTGGACGCCAATGTTATCACAGATGGTAAAGACACCAATGTTGCAGTTGTGTGAGCTTCTCGATACGGAGTCCTAGAAGCTAATATATATATACATGTTTGCAGTGGTACAACAAGTATATGAGACCGACAGAGAAAGCTAAACGATACTTTCACTCTCCATTTTGTGCTGCAGAAGACAAGCGGGTAGCTTAGTTTTGAAGGTTTTGAGCTCAAGCTCGGAAACCTCAGGTGATACGCTCACCGATGAAAACTCCTTCCTCTGGGAATTTACCACGCGGATGACACTTTCTCAGAAAGGAATTCACGATCAAGTGTCAAAGAGCCCAGAGACATCGCAGCAGACAAGAACATGGAAAGCCAGCGATCCAAAGGCTCTGGCTATCACTGTGTAGGTGTTATCTCCCAAATATCAGATTATAATGCGAACGGCACAGTCTGCGTATGATAAGTGGAACTCTCCGGTCCATTTTCGTACAACAGAACATACACAATAAGGTACAACTACGAAAATACTTGGGCAAGGTGCATCTCAAAGATGAAATAAACTTATGAATCATCTCATGCAGTTTGATACGCTGTGTTTAAAGCTCGTAGCTGTTGGGGAGACGATCGGCGACGATGAGAAATCGGTAATTCTTTTTAGGAAGTCTTCATCTAGAGTATGACATGATGGTATACATTGTCGAAGCAACTAGCGGCGTGACCTCAATAGGAGAAAAGGAAATGCTCCGGCGAGAATACGATGCACTCTAGAAGTGGGACGACAAAGCGATGTCATCCAAGACTATCGGTCGCAGGGCCGTAGGAATTGTGAAGCCAGCAAATAAGCTCGTATCACCGCGCGGGTCATCCCCACGATAGCAAAAATATTAGACAAGGTGTTTAAGGTACGCTGTTATAAATGCAAGCGACTTGGGCACAAGAAAGGCAATTGTACAGAAAGAAGATCTAGGAGAATTGACGAGTTTGTATTCTCGGCACAAGCCCGATTACTGAAGAATAAACACGATACGTGGTTGCTTGACAGCGGTGCAAGCAGCCATATGTCAAGCTACAGAAGCTATTCAATAAACATGGTCAAGTTAGATTCCCCCCTATGAATGACAGTGGCCAACAGACAAAAACTGGAAGTCCAAGGTCGCGGCAGTGCCCGACTGTATCTCGACAATTAAAAAAACAGTCAGGCTTACTGACGTGGTGTACGTTCATAAGTTGGAGGTCAAGTTATTGTCAGTGTCAGCGTTGACTTCTCGCAGCGCCTTGGTTCAACTTGATCAAGATGATGCCACCGTATCAGTAAAAGAGTCGCTTGTCGCCGTGATTACAAAGGTTGGACGATTGTTTGCTTGGCCGTTTGGATGCTCAGTGATATATACCACCAGCAGCGCAATGATCTTTCCTTCAGCCCATAGCATTATGGAATAATGACACTCACGACTGGGTCATGCGTCTGGTGCTGGACTGTTTATAAGCAAGGCATGTTATGGAGTTCCGAACCTCAACCAAAACGTTGAGACGCCTTCAAGTATATGCAGTTGCTGCGTATGTGGGTAAGAGGTCTACAAGCTCATTTAGTCATACCTCCGGTAGCCATGTGGAGACAACCGTTCCTTTCGAGCTTGTTCACAGTGATGTAATGGGACCAGTATAACCAGTATCGAAAGGTGGGTCCATATACATCGTGAAGCTAATCGACAATTATTCGCGAATGGTGTTCGTGTACCCGATAAAGGCAAAGTCGAAGGTATTAGAAAGGTTTAAAATGTTGAAGGCTCGATAGAGACCCAGTATGACTCCAAGATTCGTTGTATTCGTTCGGATAGGGTGACGAGTAGATTGTCAAGTAGTTCAATCAGTACTGCGTGAATCAATGGATCGCGCATCAGACTTCGGCACCTTGCTCTCCGCAACGAAATGGTATTGCAGATCGAATGAATCGCTCTCTTGGTGTAGGGACTCGAGCATTGCTGATGCATGCATGTTGATCGTGTGTGGTGAGCGGAAGCGCTTATGACAGTTGCACACATAATTAATCGAATTATCAAACGCGCACGGCTTGACATGTCTCCATGGGGATCATTGACTGGGAAAAACCAGGTTACATTTCTTCCGAGTCTTCGGATCAAGTATTAAATACCAGTTTGACGATAGCAAAACGACAAATTTGGATGACAAGGCCAATCGTATATGTTCCTTGGATACTCAGTAAGTATAAATGCGTATCGCGTGTAGGACTACAAAATGAATTTTTCAATATCACTCGATCGGTGGTTTTAAATGAACGACCACCCGACTCGTATAATAGGTCCTATATGTTAACGACAGCGACGAACAAGTGCGCGACGATCATGACCTCGACGATTGTGCTTCCGTGTCTGGAACATCTCCTCATGACCCAGATTTGTCAGTTTCCGAAGCAATGAATGTGGATGTGATTGAAGATACTGCAAGTGATAATGCACAAGCCCCTGATGAAGACGTCAACATGGACATCACCGAATATCCCGTGTCTTTTGGTGACAACGTGGATGGAACGATGTGAAAAGCGATGCTCCTGATCGTGCATTTTTTTTAATCGAAAAGGTAGATGTTGGTCACATACAACATCAGGAATCGTCGATCGGATCCAATGTGATCCTACCGCGCGGATACATGCATCCTGCATGCACTGCGGACCCTGACTTGAGCTACTATTATCCGGAACAGTGGTGATTCGAATCGGTTAATAAAACGGGCAGATAAATTTGATCTTCCTTCTTTTCAGGACGATTATACGCGCCAAGAGCAATAAGACGTGACCAACACACAACTGGTTACAATGCCATATTGGTGGGATTAGCAAAACACGAATCACCGCCACAACAAGCGACCACGTTTGGTCAATATCGAATACGAAGTATCATTTGCTGTACGAGATTTTCCGCAGAGCTACATAGAGACAGTACCAACAAGCCATATCCCTCTTTAATGAAAAACGCAAGTCTCAATAACTTCAGCGCTCACATGACAGATCGCACTTCGAATTTGGTCAAACAACCACGTGTTCTGAAGGTGGTCGGGTGCAAGTGGGTTTTTCTCGCAAGTATGATAAAAATAGTCATATCATACGTCACAAAGCACGTTAGGTCGCACAAGGTTTCTTACAGAATGAGGGGGTAGATAGTTTCCATACCTACTATCATGTTGCCAGTATTAACTCTATCAGCGTTTTTCGAGCGATCTGCTGCGCGAAACGCTACAAGATTCGACAATTCGACGTCGAGACAGCCATCCTGAATGGTTATTTGGAAGAGAAGGTCTACATGAGAGTGCCCCATGGTGTATCAGAAGAACAATATATGGTGTGTGAGCTCCACGCAGTCTATATGGGTTGAAGCAAACTGCGGCTGCTTGGTACAAGACGATTCGTGCCGTCTTAGCAATTTTAAAATTAGATTTAAATTCGCGCGGATCATGCGTATTTTTGCGCCATTTTATCGAGGCTTAAGGGGATTATTGGTTGGCAATGTACTGTATGTTGACGATCTTTTGGTCGGGTGCAAATAGAATGAAGAAGCTAATAATATCTGCCGCAAACTAAGCGCCCATTTTTCGCTGAAGTTGCTCGGTGCCGCGCGCTTCGTGTTCGGGATAGATGTTGATTAATTATTAACCAGGGAAACATTCATCTAGGGCAAAAGCAATTCATTCGTAAAATGGTCGCCAAGCTTGAGTGTGATGAAAAAAAAGCTGTGCAATTTCCATCGGTGTTTGGTCGAGACCTCGCGCCAGACGATTCAAATGACATCCCTGACGATAACACCCCGTATCGTAAGCTTGTGCGATCCCTCTTGTGTATGTTGCCAAAGCGACTCGGACAGACATCGGAATTCGTTATCAATACTGTCGCCGTACCTCGACTGAACTGCGTACAATGCATTGGAGTGCAGCAAAGCGAGTATTATACTATCTCATAGGCACGCAAGGCCATGAAATTGAGTATTACAGATCATCAAATCATGTAGCAGCTTTATAATCATACTGGGACGCGAATTGGGGTGTAGGCAAGCACACTCGTCGATCAACTTCTGGTGTATTGATTTTTCTGAGCAATTAACCATTGGTATACCGAATCAAGCGTCAGTTTCGGTGGCACTATCATCCGCAGAGGCTGAATATATGGCACTGGACTTGGCCACGCAAGAGATGCTTTATCTTCGGTGGCTGCTAGAAGAGCTCGGATATCAATCATCTGGTGCAACAAAGATCATGATGGAGAACAAATCGGCAATCGGCATGGTGACGAATTCGGGTCACACACCTCGTGCGAAAACACGCTGATCTGCGGGCTCATTTCGTGCGTGATCATGCGGAGAGCGGAAACGCAAGTCTTGAGTACGTACTGTCCGAAGACCAATTGGCGGACTTTTTGACCAAACTTATATCGATAATACGCCTTACGCAGCTACGCGGGCTCAGAAACGTTGTTCCGTCCTTCAGTTGATGGGGAGTGTAACAAGTTGGTGTTGCGTTCAACATTGGCCTATGTCGGTTGGGAATATGCGCGTTTAGACAATGCGAGTTCAATCGGCGGACGACAATGTTTTCACGGATGGTAAAGACACCAATGTTGCATTTGTGTGAGCTTCTAGATACGGAGTCCTACTAGCTAATATATATACATGTTTGCAGTACTACAACAAGTAGGTGAGACCGACAGAGAAAGCTAAACGATACTTTCACTCTCCATTTTATGCTGCAGAAGACAAGCGGGTAACTAAGTGTTTAAGAATATACGGACGATCGAGTCATAGAACGTCCATATCCTATAGCAATTTTGCTATTGTGTCGTCAATCTCTCGTAGCAAAAAATAGAGGTCAATAATTGCTGAAAGCTGGTTTGAAGCCACCAGACTGCCATAAAAGCTAGAGCTTACTCAAACTAGTGTAATGTCTAAATGGACGATTAATGACTAAATTTAGGCTAAAATTATTATACAATGCAGCCGTACATTTGTAAGATGTTCACATGTATAATTTTATCGTTAATGTAATTTATGTAAATGTTTGGTGCATGTTTGACACCTCCGTGATGACCAGCGCATTCGTGCAAGCTGTAAATCACTTGTATCTTTCCTTCTCATCTTAGGGTGAATTCCTTTCTCCCACAAAATTATACGTGAAGCTTAAATTGGTGCCTACATTTTCACTGCTGTTGGTGTACATAGCTCATATTACGTTAGTATGAGTGTATCGCGCCCCAGCCCATGCGCTAACTGTTCGTTTTGCGATGTCGCTCGACGTAGGAAGGTAGTACATAGCACTGTGGTAAAAAGATTACGTCATCTATCTTGTGTTTTATGTCCACCTACTATTCTCGTGTGGTCCTTCCTGTTCACTCGATGAGCAAATGTTGCTTATCGTATCGGACAATGTATTCACCTCACGAACACAAGTTTATCGGCCGCATTCACCATCGCCGTTTGGCGCGCTTCCTGCGCGCTCGTACTTACAGCGACACTTCTTTTCAACACTAACTACAAGATGATCAAACAGGGTTGTTGTGAGCGATATAGAGTGATCTACGCGACATTTGATGATCTCAGACACGGACGCTCACCTACCGCTATGACGTCACAAAAGACCACCACATCGTGGCTACGTTGGTCAATAATGTGTATTGAACGAGATGAAAAACCTAGTTGACGTGTATATTTTTCACTAGTGTAAATAAATGTGTACTTTGTGAATAAAGCCGTGGTGTCAGTACGAAGATAAACACAAGTAACGAGCCGAAATAGTCACAAGAAGTAGACTGAGAAAAATGATACCAGCAAATCGTTAAGATAAAAAACCCACAAATAATTTAAACGTGCAGCCTATGATGAGAATATCAATTTTTGCACTAAAAACGAAGGAATCAAAAACGCACTGCTAGATAAACTTTATAAACGATGCAGAACAAAATGAAAATTCTAAATAATGCACTACGAGATAAAAATACACTAATCGACCAAATTGGAAACGAGGAAAATATGTAGGTAAAGAGACGTAAAAATACACACATGCCTTGTATCATTATATGTAGATACGCTACTTTGTCTTGCTGACTTCTTTCTCATCCAGCTAGTATCTTTTCCGACATCTTCAGCGGCATTCATCTTGAGTAATGAAAAAATACTTGCCTTGGATGTCGTCATTTTATCCTATGTTACAGTGATTCTATCTTGGTCATCCATAATTAGCTGGTCCGATACAGTACCTTTCGCCTACGGCGGTGTCGTCGAGCTAAGCAGTGAAGAGTCAGCGCAGTGTCAGGGTCGATTAACAGTTGTATAACGATGCTTACAGGACGACCTAGAGACAGCGTAATACGACAAATTTACGTTAGCGGTAAGTGGATGCAATTTACTGGAGCGGCGAAAGCAACTTACTATTCCTGTTATCGTGCAGATAGCCGAACAGTTGACGGATAAGGCCGTCATGCTGAACGTGGAGTCTTTGGGCGATATTAAGCGACAAAAGAAACATATTACTTGAGCAATAGCGTCTATGTTAACGGCCAACAAATTGATAATGCACGCAGGCTAATGGACGATAACAGGAAGTAGTAATCTTGTGCGCAGATAGCTTTGTAACAACACGGCTGCACCTTCATTTGAACATGATTCCTGCTTTATCACTGTCATTATTATTCTATTATAAGCTGGTGCGAAAGGGGCTTCTAGTTGTGTTGATCACCGTCCGTTACCATCGCTGCTGATGCATGGGCTAAAATGCAAATGATGTTTATGGTCAGTAGAAGATTTGCGAGGGTAGGACTTCGATAGGCTAGTTGTCAAGCATCGTGTTAAGCAGGAGGCGAAATGGAACAGTATGACAAGGTATGATAGGCAATGTAGCTTTTGCCTCTATCGAACAATAAGCACAATACTCGTCGACTTCATTCTGCCACAGTAATTACACAGGTAGGGACTCTAAATAAATTTGAGTTTTCGTCACTATTCAGCGACTCTGACAGTTTAGTAACTTCCATCTGAGAGCCAAATATGGATGTGTGGGGAACCCAAAGTGCAGCTGCAGCGAGCGAGCGTCTGCCTGGAGACGAGGAAGAATGGGAGCTCTCTGACAGTGGAAAGGACGCATTGATTGTTCTGCTGGATGTACGCAAGGCCATGTTCTCTCCGCATCCCCACGCTGCTGCGGGTTCTCCATCCACTTGGTTCCATGCCGTCGTGGAACTCGTGATCAAACTGCTAGAGTCGAAAATCATCGCCCGTGACAACTCATTGATGAGTGTTATTTTCTTCGGAACAGTAAGTGCTCACTCGGTTGATCGATACAATGCAATGTTAACGCTCTTTTTTTTGCTGACTGAATGGACCCAGAACAAACGAGGAGAAGCAAGTACATTGAAGCAGGTCTACGAGTTCCAGCCGCTGGGACATCCGTCGGTGCAGAGGATTAAGGAGCTTCAGGTACGGCTCAATGCTACCACCTTTGATCTATTTTATAGCACAAAACGCTCACTGTGCCAGGTTACATTTGTGAGCTGCAGGCGTTGTTGGAGAATGACGTGCAAGTAGATTTCGAATCCATGGAAAACTCAGAGCAGCTCTCATTCAGCAATGCTTTGTGGCAATGCGGGATCTCCTTCTCTAATGCAAAGTGTGTCGTAAACTCTATCATGCTGCGAAGCTCTTTGTCTTACTGGCCACTTGCTCTTTTCCTGTAGTCTGAAAAAGAAGGATTCGCAGCGTATTTGGATTTTCACCAACGATGACAGCCCGCTAGAAACGGATGCAGAAGAAGTAGGCCGCATCCAGAAGCAAGTCCAGGTAACTATTGATGTATGTCAGCTCTGTTGGGTCAACGAGAGCGTTGCTAACGTTTGACGTTGTTGTAGAATCATACTGAACTCGAGCGCACACTAAACCTTTTCTACATCACGCCGCCCGGAAAGCAAAGTTTTGACCTCTCGAATTCCTACGGCTGCTCTTTCAAAGACTTTTCAGCACATGACGGCGACGAAGTGGCCGAAAACGAAGCATTCTTCCAACCAGCGTTTCCTGTCGAGACGCTTGATAACCTGATGGACGTATCGCTACGCAAGCGTTTTCGCAAGCGCCGCCTCACGACATTTGCTCTTTCTATCACGAATGCCGTGTCAATTGGTGTGGAGCTGTATGCACTAGTCGTCGTTCAGCGAAAGAATACTCCGGTAGCTCTTGACGCGAGCACAAATGTACCGCTTAACACTGAGACAAAGTGGCTCTGTGAAGATACTGGGGCCTACCTGGCACCGGACCAGATAAAAAAATACATTGACTATGGTGGAAAGCGCGTATATTTCACGCGGGACGATATTGTGGAGATCAAGCATTTCGACTCACCAGGGCTTCAGCTGATTTGTTTCAAGCCATTGAGCTCCCTCCGATGGAACGAAAATATCCGCTCACCGTATTTTTTGTACCCGTGTAACGGATACATCGAAGGAAGCTCCACCGCGTTCATGGCGATTCTCAACTCTATGGTTATAAAAGGCAAATTTGCTTTGGCAAGGTTGATCGCGCGAAGAACAAGCGAGCCTCGACTCGTGGCGCTAGTTCCACAGGAAGAAGTAAACGACGAGACGGGCCAGGTGCAGCCATCAGGGTTTAACGTCATCTTCTTGCCGTACCTGGATGATATTCGCGACGTTACAGTCGAGGCTATCACAAACGGTTTGTCAGCGATACCAATATTGCGCTTGTGATTGATACTCACTGCGTTCTTGTTTCCAGTCGCTCCGGAAAAAATCGATGCTGCGAAAGACCTGATCGCGGCGTTGAAGTTAACAGAAGCTCCAAGTTTTGAGAATCCAGGTGCGCCGCACGAAACGCGTTTGCTCGCATTGCATGACGAACTGATCGAATTGCTTGAGATGTAGAGTTGCAAAAACACTACGCCGCGATTCAAGCGCTTGCTCTTGACGAGGACGTACTGGAATTTGACGAGAAGAGCGACACGACACTTCCCGATGCAGAGGGTTTTCGCCAAGACGAAGTTAAGGTGAGGCAAACGGAAGGGGCAATGACTGTCATTGAGGCTGACTGGTTGTGTCTCACAGAGAGCCATTGCTCATTTTCGAGAAGTGTGCGGTGACGAGTTGATCGATGCGTCTACCAGTGCGAAGCGCAAGGTCAGGACTCGTTCTCTCGTCTTGCTTCCATCTCTATGTAAGTCACTGACGAGCTCTTTTGTCCTGACGAGCGCAGTCTTCAACGCCAGGAGATCGCAAAGCAACAAGGAAGAAGTCGGTGAAAGGAGACTCAGGTCAGCAGGAGGCAGAGGACACGTTCGATCGGGAGGAATGGGCTGCACTGATCTCGTCCGACGCCATACAGAAGAAGACGGTCTCTCAGCTGAAGGCGTTTCTGCACGCGCATGGCAGGACAGCTGTTGGACGGAAGGCCGACCTGATCAGCGCAGTTCGGTCTTTCCTCGAGGCGTAGCCATCATCTTGTCACACGTCGCATGACGTTTCCAAAAAGAAGCAGTAGTTTTGACCAATCGCGAGACGTTGAGGGGGTCGTCCTGTGTGTCCCGTGTACCACAGCACAAAAGACGCGCATGAACTTCCTCAAGACGCTCGGGGGGCTCGTGGGCCCGAGCGCCACGGGCGGTCTGCCCTACTCGATCGACACGCCGGCGATGGACGGCAACGTGGCAGCCAATGGCGCGACCGGCGACAGCGTCGTGTTCGAGGGCCTGCCGGACTTTGTGCTGCACTCGGGCAAGAGCAGACAGGACCCGTACCACTCGGTGTCCATTTTCAAGTCCCGGCAGCCGGCAGCGCAGCTCACGCTCAACGCTCTGCGCCGGACGAAGACGCTGCGTCACCCAAACATTTTGGCGTATCAGGACGGCATTGAGGCGCCGAACAACGGCCCTGTGATCATCGTGACGGAGCACGTCATGCCCCTGCCCGAGTTCCTCACGGCGCTGCGCATGGAGTACGGCGCTCAGAGCGAAGAGTTTGTGATGTGTGTGTCCTGGGGACTGCGCAGCGTCCTCCTGGCGCTGCAGTTTATCAACGTGGACTGCAAACTCATCCACGGTCGCCTCATGCCTCAGAGCATTTTTGTCACAAAGGTAGGGCTATGCCGAGAGACGGTATTGCCAAGAGATGATTGCAAGAATACTGATTGTAGCTTTGCACGTGGACGTTGGACAGGGTGGGGACTGGAAGTTGGGCGGTTTTGAGCTGACGGCCGAGATCACGAGTGATGGCCCATCGCACATTTTCACCGCTTTCCAGCAGTATACAGACGTCAGCTACAAATCGCCAGGTGTGTAGATATATGCAGCAACTTTCGTGTCGGTGGACTGCACAGTGATGTGTGTGTGGTTGTGATTGCTACGCTTGCAGAGTGTCAACGCTCCGATTGGAAGGCGGTAGCGACAGGACCACCTTACGCCGTCGACATGTGGGCGTTTGCTTGTCTTATGTTCTATGTGTTCAATGACGGTCAGTTCCGATCAAGCGACATTTCGACGGGCGCAAATATCCCACCGGCGATTCGGACTCAGTTTCGCAAAGCTACCGACGCTGATGCTGCTCGGAGACCAAGTCCGCAGAAGATGTTGGGCTGCAGCTACTTTGATACACCGTTCATCAAGCGGATGGAATTTCTGGAGAATCTTGCTGTTAAGAATTCAGAGGAGAAAGTGGCGTTTTACAAAGAGCTCTGTGCCAACATCGAGACGTTGCCGCGCTGCTTTGGCGTACACAAGATTTTACCAGCTCTGAAACAAGTCGTGGAGTTTGGTGCGATAACTGGCGCGAAGAACGGGCCTGTAAAGCTGGACCCGTCGGCTAGCCACATGCTTCCGGCTATGGTTCAAATTGGCAGTTCATTGTCCGCCGAGGAATTTAAGACTGAGGTTCTTCCGATCATCGTGAAGCTATTCAGTTGCAATGATCGTGCGGTCCGTGTGCAGCTATTGCAAATGATGGAAAAGTTTACCGTTCACTTTGATGCAAAGCTTGTGAACAGCGCGGTTATCTTCGATAACATGTGCAGCGGTTTTACAGACGCAGCTCCAGTGTTGCGCGAGCTCACTGTCAAGTCGATGTTGCACATTGCAGACAAGTTGTCCGATAGCAATCTCAACAATCGCGTCATGAAGTATTTTGCTAAGCTGCAGGTGCGTTCATTCATGCATGTGGGTCACATTGTGCAAGCTTTGCTCTATCCCTTCTGATGTGACTCTGCTCCGATGACGACATAGTCGGATCCGGAGCCAGCTATTCGGACGAACACTACTATTTGTTTGGGAAAGATTGCGAGCAAATTGAATGACACAACGAGGCCGAAGGTGCTGTTCCCAGCATTTGCAAAGGCGCTGAAAGACCCATTTCCGCATGCGCGTCTTGCTGGACTTCGCTCAATGACTGCGTGTCAAGTAAGTTGTCTAGCTTTGCTAGCTTCATGTAAATGGAGTTCACCATCTTATTTCTATCGTCCGTGTTCATTGTGCAGGAGTACTTTACGCCGCAAGGTGTGGCTGGCAGCATCGTTCCAGCTATCTCGCCTCTACTTCTTGATGTGTCGGTCACAGTCCGAGACCAAGCAAAGATCTCAATGGATGGTTTCATGAAGACTGTGATCGACGAAGCCGATCGGATGAAGGTTGGGGAAGAGCTCGAGGCAAAGGAACGTGAATTGAAGCACGCCCTGGGTGACGTAGACGATGCTGGGGTGAATGAAGTCGTCCTCGCATCGTCAAGTGGCGGCCACAGCACAACCGGATACGCGTCTTCTCTGACAGCTTGGGCGTCTTCGGCCATGGCATCTAACGTGAACAAGCTAGTCGGGATCGGTGCATCGTCGCCTGCAGTGCCTGCGCTGGGTGCGTCAGCTGCCGCTCCGTCTTCACATTCGTCCTCGTTCTCGAGCACCAAGACAGAAGGCAATGGCGCTAGCTCGTTGACCACATCATCATCAAAGCACAACAGCTTTAACACATTTCCAGTAAACGATGATTGGGACGACAACGACGACGACCTGGATGGTCTGGACAGCCCTAAGCGTTCGAGCTCCAGTTTCAGCGCGCCGCTTTCGGTCAACCGTGGGACCAAATCATCAAGTGCGTCCCCAGCGACATCTTCGTTGTCCAAGTCAATGTCCTCTTCGACTTCGTCCGTCAAGCTAAGCGTATCTCGTACACCGGCAGCGAATACAACCACTTCTGCATCGCGAACACCCGCAACATCGACTTTTGCGATGGACGCTGCTGACAGTGAGTGGGGAGACGACAACTGGGGTGCTGATGACGAGCTTGGCTTCAGCGCATCAGCGCCAGAGGCAAGCAGGCTTAGCATGGGCGCTCCGAAAGGAGTCAGCGGAACGAACTCGTCTACCCTAATGACCAGCGCCGCATTGACACCCGGTACGTCTGTCGGGTCTTCGTTGAAGGACAAGACGGCAAGTGGACGTCGCGCGGAAGCTCAAGTAAAAGGCAAGGCAAAGCGTGAGCAACTAGGCGCAATGAAGCTGAGTTCCACGGCGAGTGAAAAAGCGGATAACTGGAATTGGGACTTCTAGTCTGCAGCTTTGCAGCTCTATGATTCATGAATGGCGCCACGATTTTTAACACAAGTGCTGTCGTTCTACCTACTTTTCCCTCTCGTCTAAGTCTGTGTAGTAGACACTGCTGCTCTTGCCAACATTGGCTTACTTCAGTTTGTCGGCGCTCGCCACCACTGGCTTGATCTTGAACAGGAAGATATTGAGAAAGTCGCAGATGTCCTTGACCACACCAAAGACAAACTGCAGGTAAACAAGCACGATGAAAATCACGTACAACGTCGACGACACAATGGTGGGGATCAGCGGCTTCGAGAGAATGCCCACTGCGGTTCCGTAGGCGTTCAAGATCACGAATCCGAAGGGAATAATGACGCGAAGCTGAGGAGTGAATGGTACCTTGCACATGTGGCTCACGATCATACGCGTCTACACAGCGACATCCCACAAACCATATCCGCATCTCATGATGAGTGCGTCAGCACAATATCAGCTTGCTTGCTACGTACCGAAAGGAACACGTAGCCAATGCCGATAGGAAACAGGAACAAGACGGGGTAGTTCTTGTAGTTGTCCGCGTCAGGGCCACAAATCCAAAGCGAGCCCAAAACCAGGAGAATAGCGATGGGGATCAACTGGAAGAGGGCTATCGGCTTCGAGATGTGCTTGTTACCCAGTTCTTCGCGCGGAATCGTGTCGGCGGCCGCCCACAAGACGTTCGAGACGTTGCCATACGCTAGCAAGACGTTGCTCGCCACGAGCGTGCAAAGTAGCACTTCCGTCATAGTCACGGAAACTACTGGCAAGAACGACAGTTCGGTCGTCCAGAAGCCCGCGCCGAAGAATGCTGCAGCCAAGTGGACTGCAACCAACACCAGTTGTCCCTCCGTTACGCCAAAGAAGCCGTTGCCACAGCTCATGACGCCCGTGTGGTACTCCTCCCATTGCGCCAAATAGAACGTAATGGAAACGGACGAGAGCGCAATGTGCACAAGCAGACCGGGGCCTGCTTGGCACGTGGCAGCAGCACTCAGGACGTTCAGGACGGTGCACAGGGCGTCACAGCCGTGGTCGAACAGCTGGCCAAGCGGGGACGACGCGCCTGTACGACGCGCTTGCTTGCCATCCAAGGCGTCCATCGTCTGGTAGAAGAAAAGGCCGAGAGCCGACAGGATGTACACCTGAGACAGCACGACAGATGCACAGATTAGCCATTCGCACGCGCCACCTGCCAGTCAACACGCAGCTGCAATGCAGCGCACCCAAGTGGGGCACGTCTCAGCGAAGTGCGGCGCGTAGTAGAGCTGCACGACGGTCGTGAACATCATGACGCCCGTGCCGATCATCGTCACGAGGTTGGGCGCCATCCAAATGGGCAGAAACTGCACCGAGTACGTCCAAAAGTGGTTCAGCACATTGTCCAAGTACGTGTACGACCCCCTACAGCAGCACAAACAGCAGCAGCAGTAGGTTAGCACTATTGCACCAGATATATCGACCAACAGCGGTGTCCTCTCTCCCCCTACGTACGCCTTGTACTTGTACGCGGCAATGCCCTCCAGCGCCTTCTTCTCGAGCATCTTGGACCTGATTGGCGACTTTACCGGTTGAGCTCTTCAGAGCGAGCAACTAAGAGATATGGTTCGTTTTAAAGCCGTTAAGATCGATTTAAGCCACTGAAGCCCACGAATTAGGCTGGTTGCTAAAAGTGCATTTTTATTGCATAAAATTAGCTGCTGCTGCATCCGACTGAATTAAGACTTGACGCATTGCGTTTCCCAGCGCCATCAGACCCTCATTCGTCTGGGCCGAGACGAAAAAGTGCGAAGACGACCGAAATCTGCATGCAAAGCATGAGCGACCGCGAACGAAACCGCAGTCCTATCGCTGTCCTCCAAAGACATTCGTACCTCTCTTTAAGCGACTGCAAATCTTGCGACGGCTGGTCGATCTTCGACACGATGTCAACCCACTTGTGCTCAGGACGCGCTTTCGTCACACGGTATCGAAGTTCGTCGCGGAGCAAAACTTGGTCTGCTGTGGACGTGCCAGAAGAGTCGGTTGGGTCGAACACGAAGCCGATCGACTGCAGCAGCACGTAGGACGACATTCAGGTCATCATAAACAGGAGGCAACAGCCAAGCCATAACATAACCACGCGAGACGTACGGCTTGCGTCTTCTCGATCATGGCAATCGCCAGCTTTTCGATGGAATTTCGCTGTTCCTCTGGTCGGAAAATCAATCCGGGTGTGTCCGCAATCTATCGTGCGAAACAGACGTTAGTGAGACTACACGTCAGTGAACGAACGACTGCATCAAAGGATGTCATTGATTCGTGCGTGACCTGGTACGAAATGCCTTCAACGAATATGTGACCCATCGTTATACCGCGCGTGGTAAACGGGTAGTTTGCTACCTGTGCAACAAGACCGTTAGATGCATCTGTGGAGCAAGAGCGGTCAATTGGATGGACCCATGTACCTCTGGAGAAGCCGTCGACAGAGCACGCACTAGTGTGGACTTTCCTATTCGTACATGCAGCAACTCTGCAGTCACACACTCGAGACCGAAAACTAGCAACACGCATCCATGGTCTGTCTGACGCACCCACGTTGGGGGCTCCAACAAAGGCAAAGATGGGCTTCTCCAAGTCCACGTGAGGAAGCCCGCGAAGCGTCTGCAAGTCGCACGAACACACATCAGCAACAGTCGACCGATGCACGTTTCGAGACTGCAATCACCTTTGCCATGTTCGCAGCTGCCCGCAGCGTTTCTGCGTTGCTGTCCACGACTTTCTTGAGCTCCTGCAAGTGCACCACCATCTCCCTTACTTACTCCACGACATCCACTCATCCACCACCTCATGATCCCCACCTCGGTGCAGCGCAGCCCACAGTCGACCGCCTCTTGCTTCGTACGTAGCTCCTGACACGCGCGTTCATACTGCTTGCCCGTGTTGTGCAGTGTCGCGTACACTCTTCGCAGCAGCTGCACGTGTTTCTCGTAGACTCCTTGACCCAGTGTAAGCACAGCCACTTCCTGCACATATCACGTAGCAACGGTAAGCGACGCGTGGGCCACTTCCGCCGCTATTTCCCAAGCGGTCAACAGTCACTTGAGCAGACGCACGTGCTCGAACGGGTGCAAGTGCCTCAACGCCGGGAACTCCAGCGAGACGTGCCGCGTCACGCTCGAGAGCTTCGCCAGCTGTCCATTGATGAGCCGCGACGTGTGGTTCTTGGCGCGCTTGACGGGGTCAGCGATGCGGTAACTCTCGCGCACGGGCGCGCGCCAGAACCTCATCTCTTGGATCTCTGACGCCGTGCGGACGTAGGGCAACCTGCAGCAGTCCGTGCCACAGCGCTCGTCAGCGACAGGATGACCAGGTTCCCAGTGCGTCTGTCTACAGCGCACTGCTCACTATCACACACCTCTGCAGCGCCCCATGTGCTACAAGTCGTTGCGCCATTCGCCGCTCGCTCTTGTAGAGTCCAAATGTGCAGATAGTACTTTTACGTGCAGTTACGGTACAACTCGCTCGTCAAAAAGTAAATTGGGGTTTCTTACTACTTCGTCGTGCTACAGTAGCGCTACTTCTGACTTAGGCATATCGCCGCATATCGTTCACGTAGCGAATGCTCAGATAGATCTTCGCCTCCGATTGACACCCCTGCAGCGGAATCCCAACCGGTGAGGGTGGAAACCGCCCGTCGAGGCAAATTGAGCTCGCGCTCAGGATGCTCACCTCCTGATCGTAGTCTGCAAAGCCCTCGTTCTCGTCTTCCAAGAAGATACTGCCGCCCGATTTCGGCGGACGGTTGATCCGATGGCGCCACGAATCGTCACGAATCTCCATGGGATGCTCACTTGCCGAAGCCAACTTGCTGATAATACTTCCGCGAACGCGCTTCCGGCGCTTGAGCTGCGTTTTGGCATTCGTATCTGCCAACAGTTTCGCGGGAACGGCCTCAAAGTCGCGGTAGATGTCCTCGATGGAGAACCGAACGAAACCCAGCCGCTTCTTTGGGAGCGGTTTCCGCTTGTGGTAAACGTTGATTTCGAAAAACGTGTCAAGGGACGATACAGCAATCAGCCACGACTGGTCAAACTTGGGCGTGCCTGTGTGCCGCGCAGTAGACGATTTGTACTCAGCCAGCTCCTTCGCAGGATAGCCATCGGTCTGAGAATAGACGCGGACTATCACCTTCGAATTCACGTTGTCAGGCAACCCGTCGACATACAAACAATGCACCTCGATCTCCGTGATCACGTTCGAGTCGGAAAGTTGCTTAAGTGATCCCGTCATGAGATTTCTCGCGGGTCGGCGAGTGCCCTCGTAGTGCTTCTCATCCATCAGGTGCGTGGTGTTGCTCACTGACTGCGACATCTTTTCGACGACGCCAAGCGTACCAACAACGGGACACGCAACGAGTTGCAGCGTTCCGCGACCAACGCCTTTTGCAAAACCCTTGACACCCCCGCGTTTGGCCCCTCGGACGGGCTCCTTGACAAAGCCCGTCACACCGTACGCGATGCTTTTCCCGAAAACCTTGCCACTCTGCACAAATCCATCAGGGATGTGCCGAGGCTCACTCGAGTCCTCCTGACTCTCGAAATACGTAACCTTCTTCACTACGTCACCAAGCCCGTTTGAGACCTTTCCAATGGATCTCAAGGGTACGCCAAACACAGTTTGGACGACAGTTAAGGCACTTTCGCCCTTTCGGCGGCTTTTTCCCCTCACATCGCGCTTCAACTGACGTGCAGCGAGCGCAAATCCATCCACAATATCGGTGGCGAGGCCGACCGGATCACCTAACATCTCCACACTACCGACGATTCTGTACCACTGACCGATGACAGAGTACACGATCTTGAGGACAACATCGTAGACCAAATCGTACTCGTAAAAGAAGCGGTTGCGGTAGACAATCTCGTCAAAGTGAAAGACGGGCGTCACGTGCGCGATTCCACCGACAATACTTCCCATGGTATTGCCCAGCACTGCGGAAATACCTTCGCCTTTGTCTTCTTGCAACGAATCAAACACCAAATCGAATTCGAACCTGCTCATGTACCAGCGCTTGAAATACAACAGCATACCAGCGGAGACAGAGCCGCTAGGGAACGGGATGTTCAGTACGAGCATTTGGTTCTTCGCTTCAAGACCTTGCTGTAGAATCGAAGCTTCATCGCTTCCTGGAATGAACTGGAAAAGAAGGTTGCTCAGCCCGAGCAAGTATTCCAGATTCAATTTGACTGCCATCGACTCAAGCTGCAAGTCAAAATCGTTGACAATGATGATACCACTCGTCGGAAGTGTTTCGCAACTGAGCGTGAAGAACGATACCTCGCTATCTCCTGGAAGCCACCCCTCACGCTTGTCACTATTGAAACCACTATCCAAAGGAGCGAATACGACGGGGTACGCGGAATGTGGCGTCATGTCGTCGAATTGAACGTGGTGAACCATCAAAGTCACGCGGCGAGACCCTGCTTTTGAGTCGAACCGAATGGTTTCCATGGTAACGTTCGAAATCTCCTGCGGTTGTTCGTCCACCAATGTGATCCCAACTCCGTGCATCGAAACATCAATCACCGTGTTACTGAGCCAATCGCTGACGGTTGCACGCTGCCGAACATCATAAAAGGTTTTGGTGTCACCCATCGAAAGCACCCGCGTGGAGCCGTCGATGTACACCTCACCGTGGAGGCCCCGGGGCGCACTTTTTATCTCACCAATCTGGATAAAATCGACCACAGTCGGAACCTTCCAGTGCGTCGCCGTGATACGCAGATTCAAATCTGCCTTTGGATCCTCCCACGCAAACGAGTGGCTCTCCAAAGGGCCCAGAACAATCTCTTCGGCGGTCTTCACGCCATGCTGTACGTACCGGAACGAGTAGCGCGTTGAGCGATTCTCAATACGATAGTTCGGATCGGCCGAAATATCGCTTATTGTTGCAAAGATTGTCTCAGCCACTTCGTGCACTTTCATGCTACAAACAGGCCCATCGCCCAAACTACCACGCGTCCAAAACGTTGCTTCCTCTGACACGTTGTACGCCACATTCGGGTCACTTAACTTCGACGAACGCTTGAACAATGGCATACTCGCGCTCCACTCGCCCACGTCTTGATTATCCGTCGGCATGTCACGCACACGCAGACTTGCCACGTACTTCTCAGGTCCATTCATGTGATACACCACAACGGCCTCACCTTCTTTCACGGTACACTTACCCTGGTCATAACTGTACCTCTTACAGTTGCCTTTTTTGTCAAGTAAAATCGGAGCTATCTGCAGTGGACGCGGCACGTGATTCAAAAACACGAATCGTGGCGAAACCACGAATATTTTCGATCGAAAAAATTGGGCTGGAGCGGCGCGGACTTCAAATGCAAGCACGAAGGAGTAGTTCCCCGTTCCACTTGCGCGCAGTTCTCCTTTCTTGCTTACAGCGGCCATGTCTTCGGTCCCTGACCACCCCAACTTACTAAAATCCGGCAAGTACTTTTTCGTGGTTCCAGACACAAGCGACTCGCCTTCATAAATGCGTGGCGTCTCTTGGAATGGACGAAAGCAAATCGAAGCCTTCTCGGGTGGAGCAGTGACCAGTAGCGGGATTTCCTTAGCCTCAGGAAAGAAAGCACGATGCTCTTCAGCGGTACATGCTCGACCACGAGACAACTTCAGGCGTAGGTCTAAACCACTTCGATTTTGTATCCAGTAGGGCGAGTAAAAAAATACTGTGCGGGCACCATTTTCTTCCCACTGAGGGTGGACAACGAAACTCGGGCCGTCATCAAATATCAACTCGAACGCGTCGGTATTGAACGACTTGCGCGACGCTTCAAGGTGCACCAAAAATGGTGCACTCCATACTGGAGCTCGGTTAGTCTCACTCGCACAAAGACGCATCGCCATCAATGCTGGTTTGCACAAGTTCAAACCGAACACTTGGACTGCCTTGCCACTTTCAACATACATCTTGCGGCTGTTTACTTCATTGACATAGCTGAAGTAGTCGATCTGACCCAGTGTTTTCACAGCTCGGGACTTCCTTTCCTTCCCGGTATTGTCTACAATACGAAATTCCCCCTTACTGGTGAGTGTGCTGGGCGGACAATCGTCAGGCTGAACAACCATGTATTCGACGCCGCACGGAAGAACGTTGTGAAGCACCAACTGCGGCTGAATTGTCAATGACCACGTACTTAGCCTAGCATCATTGGCAGATGTTTTCTCAATAACAACCGTGGGCTGGTTGTCGATGGATTGTGATGATGGGTATACAACTTCTTTTCCGGTGGGTGCAATCTCGTTCGGATTCGGGAGAGCAGCATTTGTACCCAACTTTTCCTTCGCGCGTTTAGCTGAAGCGACAGAGCTAGTAGCTTCTCCGCGCAACGCTTTCTGAACCTCGAGCTGCTCAAATCTTGTCATCCGTTTGTATAGCCGCTGCTCCGCGACGGACAAACACAGCGTATCACTCCACTCGGTCTCACCAATTTGCCGAATAGCAAAAGTGCCGACGCCAACCAAATTCAAAGGAATGCTGATTGTACCGAAAGCGGATAGCGTGAAATAACGCCCCTTTCCGTTGCGCTGTTCTGGGTTGCACGGCGCGATCTGCCCACGATCATCATACATCAGCAGCTCCGTATCCTTAGCAGTTCCATTGCGAACATATTCGGCTCCGGAGACCTTCACTTGTAGCCCATAAAACCCATCAACAGAGATGTGGACAGCGGCCAATACAGGGAGGTACTGCCGCATACAGTCGCCGTAGTAAGAGTCAATCCACTCATAGTTTGGATTCAGTTCCTTTACGCGATGCATACAGGCGTACGCCTTCTGTAGATCGTGACGCGTCGGCTCCTCTATCCGAGTCAGCAAGGCCACCCCCTTGTCGTACAAATCTGCGATGGACGTCTCGGATTCAATGTCTTCGAATAGAGGAGTCAGCTCGTACACTTGAGTCTGGCCTATCGACATCAAAGGCACGCCGTGAATCGCTCGGTATCCTTCAATTTCCAATGAAACGTAACGATCAACCGTTGCCCGCGACTTCGAAATCGCAATCTTGAATTCTTCCCAAGAAACTTGTCCAGAATTGTCCGTATCTGCCAACGCGATGAAGTCTTCCACGGCCCGAGCGAAATCAGCATCATTATTCAGAACGCTGCTACTGCGCTTATGCATAGACGATTTCTTCGTGCCTGACGACTTTCGTTGTTTATCCTCTTCCTCGTACACACTTCGAAGGACTGCGCGTACCTCTTCCGTGTCCAACTCTCCACTTCCATCCTCATCAGCATCTCGAAAGGCTTGCCGCAACTGCTTTTCCTTCAAACTCTGTTGCTCGTACTCTTCAGCTTCACCATTATCCAGCAGTATACATGCGTGCGCTTCAGTGGGAGAAACGGCAGTTACCGCAGTCACGATTTCTTCCTGCACATTCTCTTTCGACCGCTTCCTTGCTACCATGTAGTATTTGATGTTCACACCACTTTCATTCAGCATCCAGAAAATGCCACCAAGTTCTTTCACGTGAGGACGCTCAGCTTCCGCCCGATGCTCGACGTTGGAAAACGCAGCCATGTTCGTATTCACCGCTTCCATAAACGCGGACGTGACGTTCAACTGGAAATAGCGGTCGGACGAGTAAATGACTTCCAGTGGACATTTTGGCTCTTTCCTGATATCCAAGATGCCTTGATAAAACTCGATAAAAGGTTCAATCTGGCGAGCCTTCGTGTTGTAGTAGTTGCCATATACGTCAAAACTGATTTTTGCAACTCCGAAACTATCTGTGGACCGCTTTCGCGCTTGCAGATTAGTAGTAGTAGTGCTCTGCGATCCTCCCTCCCAAACGGAGAAGTTTGCGTACATTCCCAGTTCCTCCAAAGAAATCTCGATCGCTGGAAGTCCCATTGGCAGCATTTCGTCGATCAGTCGTAAGTAAAATCCGCCAAATGATGTGGAAACAACGGTTTGGACAAAAATATGCTGCGCAACACCAGAACCTGGGTTCATGGAAGCCTGATCGCGGCCGCTGTCCTTTAGACTCGACAGCAACTGGTCGACCAAATCTCCTCGACCACCCATGTTCATCTCTTTACTCAGCAACCAACGGCTCTGCTCACCAGGTCTTACCAACGACGGATTCACGATCCGATTCCATGCTTCCTGGGCGTACTCGAAATTCTTGAACGCACGGACCATTTTTTTCTGAACAATGACAGGCTTTTGACCATTCAGTGACGTCTTCGACGCGCCGATCTCTTCTTCGTATCTTTCCCAAAAAGAAGCTAGAGCTGCTGCGTTGGCAAGGGTGTTCGCATTATCGCCAGTCAGATATGGCACTTTGTTCCGCTGCATTTCTGGGTCAACATACTCCTGACCAGTAAGAGCAACTACCTTGCGGTGCAGGCGTGTATACAAGATCCTGCTTCGGCTAAGTGCTCTTTCAAACTCTTCCAAAGATACATCGCCGCTTCCATCACGATCCACCATGCTTACAAACTCTGCAACAGTCGCGTCGAACTCAGACTTAGTCAGATCTTCGCAGTCGGTCGCACCACGCAGCAAGTCCCCGATTTCCGCTACATCCAGCGAGCCCCCGCCATCGATATCGCGCAATTTAAATTCAGCTTTCAGCCGGTCCGTGTAGCGCTTCTCTTCAATCCGACGCCTTGCTGCCTCCATGCGCGCTTCGCATTCTTTGCGCTTCTGAGTTACTTCAATGTCTTCTTGCACAGATTCATTCAGCGATGCTAAAATGCTCAAAAGCACGCCCAGATCATTTGCAGACAGGTTCATCCCAAAATCAGACATTTGCATCGTCAGCTTGCGGCGTGCACCAGCTTCTACGCGGTCTTGACGGTGGGCAACCAACGATCGCGTTTTGACATCTTCAATCTCGGGATGGTCGACCTCAACAATTTGTTGTTTCGCGGCAGCTTTCTTGGCGACATTCCACAAATTTGCTGCTGACTTTCCAGTCCCATCAGAGGCCACAATTCTAGACTCCGACGATTCTCCAGGCAAACCAACTGAAAGTCTGTACCCCATGGAGAAATCGACGCCATCACCTTCAAGTTCCAGAATCGATCGTAGCTCGCCAACATCGAGTTCAATACCGTCATCGCGCAGAACGATTTTGCACGGCGTCAATGCAACGTCGACCAGCTCTAGCTCTACGGCCTCCGAGCGCTCTGAGCTCACAATTCGAAGCTTAGTGTCCGCAGTAAAAGCCAATACAGAAGACTTCAAGGTCTTCGAATCCCCAATCAGACAAAATTCGCAGCCCTGCAATATGACGCGACAACCTAGCGACATTCCACCGATCAGCAAAGGCGAATATGGTTTTGGTAAGTCTTCCACATAGATGTATCGTGTGGCCTCTTGCTGCTCTGGAGAATCCATACTGTCTGCCATCTCGCATGCGAGAAAGCGCATCTGCTCTTTCTCGTCTTCGCTAATCGCAGGCAGGTACTTATGCATCGTGCACAATAGTGGGTCAAACACAAGCAACAACGAGAAGTGCTTGAGAGCGACTCCGATGTCCATGTAACCATCCCCGCGCTGCGTGACTACGAGTGACATCATATCCTCGGCTTCAGGATTACGATCCATGAGCTGACTGAACACGTTGGTTGACGCGCCGCGATTGTCGAGCAGCCCGAAGCGCACTACGTCCAACGCAATTTCAACGGCAGTGTCGTTGTCTGCGACCTTTTTTATCTGACAAATCAATTCGAAACTCACGTCGTGCACGAAAAATGTCATAAGCTTATCTTCGGTGTCCTCAATCATTCTCACATTCATCTCCTTGACCCCAAACGATAGTCGGAAGACGTCGAACATCGGGGGTGTTTCTGGCACCTGCGCTTCGCTCACGTAATAATTCACCGGATTATCCACAAACCTGCGCAAATTTCCCTTCTCCACATCTTCCTCGCTTGTGTATGGCAGAGGCTTTCCGGCATTCGGAACTTCCAAGCCGAGTGCCAATGCACGCAAATAGAGCAGGCGCGAAGCAAGCACTTTCAGTTCCAATTCATCTAGCCGGGCACTCCGCTTGGCAATAACCCCTCTTTGCTTAAAGCCCTCGTATAAGCGGGCCACAAAGCCCGTGTCGTTGTCAAACTTCCACTGTTGACTAAAGAGCAACATGTACTCTTCCGACTCGGTCGGAGTGAGCTGCACGCATGTCAGGTCATCCTCAATAGAGGCTGCCGTTCGCCAGTCGTAGTAGTAGTTGATCGGCTTCAGCAGTCTGAGCAACAATCCAGCCTGTGCAGGTCGCAGCTCAATTCCGAACTCCTGTCCATGTGCAAACGAGATTTCAAGCTCAAACGCGCGTGTGCCTGTGTCTCGTCTCATCATGAGCGACTGGAAGATAAAGGGCATGAAAACCCCGACCTCCATAGTAAGTGGGGTAATCAGATAGCAGGCATCACCACCACTTAGCTGTTTCGGGTTCAGAAACATTTCATAGTTTACCAGACGAACCGCGCGCTTGCGTCGACCATCTTCGCAGCCGCTGCTACGGCATATCTCGAACCGTTCCAGCGCCACACCTACGATAGATCCGGAGTGCTCATCACGTACCACGATCGAGAACGATTGCAGCGCAAACTCGAACGAGTCTAGCAGTTCGTCCACCCACAAATGCCAGAACGCAGGCTTGAGCGGCACCTCGTCCCCAGCCTTGTCCGACTTTGTCTTCTGCGCCTGGCGTATTCTCTCCCGCAGAATTCCAAGGTCTTTGAGTTTCTGCACCACAGTGCTTGTCCACGCGTTCACACGTGCCACTCGCGTCTCGGCCGCTAGCTTCACTGCCTCTTTGCGGCGCGCCACGTTCTCATCGCGTTGCCACATCCACTTCTCGGCAGCATCGAGTGTCAGGAAAAAACGCAGCCCGCCAATTACAAGTCTGGACTCCAGAGGGTGGCGGCCGCTTGCGAGACGCACCAGACATCCCCATAGCGGCACGACTAGTCGCATCTGCTGCATCTCCACGCGCTCAACGCCAAACGGAAGCCCCGCCAATGGCTCGAGATCGGGCAGCGTCTCCTGGTCCAGCTCCAGATCGCGCAGTTCCAGTGAGCCGTGCAGGAGGGACCAGGCGACAGTGACCTTGGGACCGGCGACTGAAGCCGCGTACCGGCGCAGCAGCAGCGTCAGCAGCGCATCGCCGTATGTCACGAGGGCAGCGGCAGCCGCCAGCAGCAGCGCCAGCAACAGTGTCCACATCGCGACGCGGGTCGTGTGAGTGCCGTGGGCGTCGTAGCGCACCAGAAGAGCTGCGAGTTCGTTCGAGTGGGAGGGCGAGCGATCGGTTAATGGGGTGCATGGACGAGCGAAGGGGGCGATACAGTTGTGCAAACGACATGTCGCACTGGAGATGCACCGGTTAGTCGCTGCTGATTGCGTGATTTGTAACCAATGAAAAGCGCTCGAAGCGACGAATGAGGCTGAAGCGAGTGCTGTGCTGGCGTGACTGGTACAATGCTCAGCCATCACGTGTCGCACATTAGCGATGCGGCAAACGCTCAGCCCTCAGAGTCTCCTCTGTTTCGTGGATCGCCGCGACTGACTGACGACACAAATCGTCCACGAAACGTCCGCCCCACATCACAGGCGTCCGTTCGTGCCTTCGCTGGCTCGTCGTGCTCGTCCGTTTCGTATCCACAACAACAACGCAACCGCTTGGGAAGACAAAGTCGAGTCCATAGTTTCCCAGCAAACGAGACCGCTATTCACTTGGCACCACGCCGCGAGTGTCATACGAGTACTCCAGTTTGACACATTACAACGGCTGAAGTCGCAGCTGACAGCACTTACTACGGCGGCGACCCTCGCACACCGCTGCATCAATTCGAATGCTGTGACTGGCGATACTCCACCAGGTAAACTGTCGTAGAAATGAGGCTACAATCGATACGTCTTGGGTTTGCCAGTGTGAACGCTATCACGTAGAGGCGCTGCGTGGGGGGTAATTGTCAAATGTGCAATCGTTTCTCGCTGATCGACAGGCCGTCAACTTACGCTGCTGCTAGTTCCGTCAACTTACGCAGCTGCTGTTTCCGTCTTCCACACCGTGTGAGATATCTATGTGCTGCAGTCCTCGCAACAACTTGCAGCCATACAACACCCAACAACTTTGCACTCAATGTAGCGATGGCACAATGCACTTGCCGATTGCGAACACAGCTTGTAAGTCGCGCTGCTGATCGCCGTTTATCGCTAACATAGTGCCCAATCGGTCTCGTACTTCGCTGTTGGATACGCACGACGCTACTATGGCGGCGCCTTCAATGATTGATTCGATCCACATTGCATTCCTTATATGATAATCTTGAGTACGGTCGGCGGGGTGACTTGGCTTTGCTGACTGTTGATGTTAACAAACATGAGTAAATAGATGCGGGGCAATTGCGAAGTCTTGCGAGCGCAATTTACTCTCAAGCATTGCACAAAAGCATCAAGTTTGACAATTATGCTACTCCGCACCTGCAACTTGTGCATAACGGGACATTGCTGCCTACGAATTTTTATGTATATTTTCCAACCTAATTTTGCTTGCACCGCCTCATTTGGCCAAACGCGCAGCTGATTCTGCATTTTTCGTCAGAGGGATGGAGTCAAGGCGTTTATGCTGTCACAAATCTGAAAAGCCCAGATTGGCTGTCACCGGTATTCCGAGTGGGACCGGTAAACCCGAGGCCATCTTCATCTCGTTAAATGTTTTTCTACGCTTCCGACGATGAGTACGAACTGTTTGACACTGCATGCACGAGACAGTTGTGCGCTTGCAGAATCACGAGTCGCAAGATTTGTGTCGACGAGCAAGATCGAGGCATCTGTAACTCAAGGGTGAAAAGCGAAGCCAAGCGGTGACGTGGAGAAAAATTGCGACAGCACACAGCCGTTGTAAAAGCACACCACGAATGATAAGATCAGTAGCACGCAGCGACAGGTGATAAACACCGTCCGGTCAAACGCCACGCACAATCGACGTAATCGCTAGCGCAGATAGTCACACCTGACCGCAACTCGGTGCACAACAGCAAGCTTTGTTTGAGTTGCTCGTTTTGCGTCGAGCCATGTAAAATTGTTGCGTTATGGCTTCAACGGCGCATCTATAGATCGATGAGCTTAAACTCGTTGCGAAAGTAGTTGAGGTCTCTCGTATCCGCCACCTTTACCCAATCAAACCGCTCCATACATGTAAAGCAAATTCGCAAATAGCTCCAGATGTGGTCTGCGCGATTGTTCAAGCTCAGTGCCTGCAGATAACACTTTGTAGCCTCCTCGTAATTTCCCAAATTCGCGTGGCTGATTCCCAAATTCAGCCACCCACGGGCATAGCGCGGTTTCAATTCCAGTGCCCTGAGAATCACGCGCACTCACATGTTAGCTGTGTCCAGGAATGAACAACGTGTGCCACAACAGCATTCAGCGTACCGGTGATACGCAGGGATGGCCTCCGACGAGTGCGCCGAATTTGCTAGTGTCGCCCCCACTTTGTTCCACAGCGCATACTCTTCTGGCCGCGAGTCTGAAGCAGCTTTAAAGCTATCAACTGCCGCATCGTAGTCTTTTGACACGTTATACAAGACACCCAATACAACTTGAACATCTGAATCGATGGGATCGTGTGCGCGTGCTTGCAGCATTAGCTGCATCACTTCATCCATCAATGATCCATCGCTGTACTCATCCACTTGAATCTCCAGTCCGTGAAATTTCGGGTTGTGTTGTACCCACGCCTTCAGTGTTTTCAGCGCGCCTTGCGGGTTTAGCTCGTTGACATTGCTGACGCCAAGTGCCAACAATGCATTCAGGTTGTACGGGTCTTCCTCCACAGCACGCTCTAGGCAAACGATGGCGCTTTTATCTTCATCATTTTCTGCGTGGCATTCACCCAGCATACGCCATGCCTCACTATTGTCCGAATGCTGCTGTACCTCAGCTTCGAACGCAAGAATCGCGTCATTCAGATGCCCCGACTTGAAAAAACCAATGCCTTTCTGGAAATTATCCGATGAGTCCAAGAAGGGATTCTCGGCCTTGTAGGTATAGTCCTCGTTCGTCGCGTTATCCCATGCGTCTTCAAACGGATCTATCGTTTGCGCGTCCGCCATAGCCTTTTCCCAAATTGCCTCCTAGTTGACAGAAATACCGTTACAACGTGAGCATTCATCAAGTCGGTAAAAGTACAATTCACGCACTAGATCATCACTATCCGCCCACGCGCTTGCCATGGCTTTGTCCTCGTCGACCTTTGAGTCACTCCACGCCTCGTGCAGTCCCGTCGCATTCGCCGCACGCGCCTCTTTCCACGCTCCCTCCATCCCTGCAGGAGTCGTGGCTGTCTCTGCGAATGCTCGTTCCAGATCAGAAGCAGTCAAATTGACATCTTGCTGCGAACTAGCGTCGAAAATTGAGCGCGAATCCGATGTGTCTCCCCACGCTCCTTCTAGTGCGCCTTCTGTTTTGACCGCGCCGACAACCTCATTCTTTTCCTCGTCAATTTGCACCTCACCCGAGCCGACCTGGTTCATAAACTTAAGAAACTGACTATTCTGCCACCTGGGGTCTTGATTCTGACGCATAGTGCGCGCCGTTTCGTTGGAGACTTGTTGCATCTGCATCCTGCTGGCAGCCTCTCTTGTCACCTGCTCTTCTGGCCTCCTTACCCGCTGTGCAGCGGCCGGATGAGATTGCATCGATGGTTGATGAACCATAGACGCTGGTGCTATGCTATTTTTCCACCACGCATCTTCTCGGTGGGATTTACCAGCTGTTCGCCAGGCGGTTTCCAAATTGTTCGAGCAGAAGTCGTCGACCCACGCATCGTGTTTCATGCCCTGTGCATGCGCCATTGCTGTACCCATCGACATAGATGGTGGTCGCGCACCGAGTCTATGCTGAAGCTGTGCGCGCCGAGCGTCTTCAAAAGCTGCCTCCATGGATGCCTGGTGTGCGTGCATCATCATCATCTGGTGCTGCTGCTCTCCGGTAGATCGGAAAGCCGCCTCCATTCGCAAGCGACCGACGGATTCTTGATCAAAGTCCGCGAGGAACTGGGTGTCAGCGCCCTGAGCCATCCTGGAGCGCTGCATCTGCACCTGCAACTCACTGGGTGCGCCGTACGGTAGCACAGCCCCGCGGGATTGACGAGCATTCGCGTGAGACTGTACCACGCTATCCAGTGCGCGTGAGAGCGGGTTCTTTGCCGCCACAGTGCCGTCCACGGCGCAGCCTGTGCCCTGCACAATCTTTCCCAGCACGTCCATCTTCTTCTTGCTGCGAGTTGTTGCTGTCTGCTTCACTTTCCCCTTCCCCCTGTAGTAGTCACGGTATTGGTTAATATGCTCGGGCGAAGACTACTGCGACAAACGAAAATGAGGTGTCAGAATATTGTCGCACATTGCAAATATTGCTCTTCACTGTAAAGCGGTCAACATTTGTCCACATCTTTTTACTGCTCAACCTAAGGATAAATACCGTCAAACCAGACGTGCTGCTTCAAGTTGGGAGGCGCTCTGCGCTCGCTTTTGTTCGTGCTGTCGCACTCGCTATGCAACGACAAGTATAAAAGTGAGCGCAGAGCGTCGCATCGTTCACCCGACGTGCGATTGTCCCACAAGCGCTTAGCGCGCAATGCCTCTAACAGTATTCCAGCCGTTCTTACCCCAGCTCATGTAGACGGGTGACGCTTGTGCATTGTAACGAGTGCCAGTGCATACGGCGGTGCAAGTACGTAGTCGGCATCCTTTTGTATGCGAAAAAGAGTGAGGCCACTGAAAAGCCGATTTGACTGGGCTTTCAATTACTATACGCCCGTGAATTGTAATGAACGCCCTTCCCATTGCGTATATTACGTCCAAAATACAGATCAATTGGTGCGCAAAGGTCAAGTACTGAACACTCTGTATCGGATACGCGTAGCGCTGCCGCTATGATATTCGGATGATGGTAACATAAAGCGATAGGTAGCATACCTAAAATGTGAGCGGCTCTACAATCGCAATTACACTACTATAAAATGTAGCTACGTTGCCTGTGCTGTTGATCACGATGGGGTATGTCTTGAAGCCTGAAGTAGACCAAACTACTGACCACCTAAGCTCTCAAAAAGACTATCATTTTTAATCGTTATGTTCAGGTACAATGGTGATTTAGGCGCACTCATGAGCAGGCCTCCCTATATACGGATTCTAAGGACTCGATCCGTAAACAGCCGTAAATAAAGTCCGAGGTGGCGCCGTAATTAAGGATTAATCAAAAGTTCTTTGGAGGCTCCCACTTGCTCTTCCCTTCGCTTCCCCCACGCCTCTCCTGCGGTCGCACACTCTGCCCCCTCAAAAAGACTACCAGTTGCAGCTCCTCTCCCCAATATGCCCCGCGAAACTCCCTTCAACGTAGCCCACAAAATCGACTACGGGCTTACTGTCACAAGCCGGCACCACAGCTCAACAAATATAGTCTCAGTGAACTGCCTCTTTTGCATCCACTTTGGCCGTGAAGACACCGCAGTTTCTCAAACCAAACGGCGCAAAACGGAGAATGTTAAGACGTTCACGGCACCGTTCCGTACGGACAACTTCGTTCAGCATATGCGCGGGCAGCATAAAAATCGTTGGGAGCAGTTCAAGGTTCTGGTAAGGGATTCCAAGGCCGCGTACTTTCAGAGGAATACTCCGGTCCGCCATGCCAACACCATTTCTTCTCATTTCGCTGGTAAGCAGACACCGCTGCAACTCCATTTCAATAAGGCTATTGTTGACGATACCATCGGAGCCCTGTTAATGGACTAGGACGACGACGAAGGTCTTCCACATGCCTACCGATAAAGAGCGCTGAGGATCTTCCAGGAAGTAGACCCAACCACGGTGCAAGACTCGCAGTTGGCAGAGACAAAGTACGAAAACTACATCACAAACCATCGCCAGTTCAACCTGGTCGCCAAGTTCTATAGCACTGGAGTTTCATTTTGCCATTTATGAACTCTAATTACAATGACGGAGGAACGCAGCGGTGTTGCAGAGATAGGCACTGCCAAGGATGACAAGATCATTTAATACGCTCGTTTTGTATTGGCATTAAATTTGCAACACATCCATCACATCTTGGAGAAGAGCTGGGCATTCTCTATCGCTTTGGATATGTCCACTCACATGTCGACATCTTACCTCGATATCCGCCTTCAACTCTTCTGGCATGGAGAGATCCTGAACCTGCACCTGATTGGGATCCCGGTTTTTGGCAGGCATACTGCAGAAGACGTGTACCGCCACGCTTAGGCAGTACTGGATGTGATCTGCCCTCAATGGAGGAACATGTTGATTTCCATCTCAACGGATGGCGAACCAAGGATGAAGGGACGCATTGCTGGAGTTGCAACGTTGTTTGAACAAGCCGCACTCCCTGGTTTCTATCGCATCTGGTGTGGTTTACATCAGCTGGACTTATAGTTGCGATCGTTCTACGAAGATTTGATGAACGAGCAATTCGTGTCACTTCTCACAGCGCTCATCGGATACCTGCGCCGGCAACAAAACTTGATTAACGACATGGCTACGAAATGCCAAACGCTCGCTGAACAAGGTGGGAATCCATGTCAAAGATAGCCAGCTGGTTCAAAATTCACCGTGTAGCTATCATGGAATATCTCCGGGCGAAGAATCCTTCTTGTCAGCCGTCGCATAAATGGTGGGTTGTCCGAATTTTCGCAGAAGATGTGCTCGCAGCCGCAACAGCCTCGTTCAAATATCCGCAACGGGACGACACTTTGGTATCTGAGCAGCGCCAAGCGCTTACGAACTTGAAGACTTCCTACCAAGAGATGGTTAACGCGAACGGGCCATTAACATCCGGAGAGCGGGCGGATTTTAACGTAGCCAGCAATGTGGCCTCCCGCGACGGTTTATATGCAGCACAGACCGCCGATGTGACAACATTCCTTGAAAATATGGCCGGTTTCGTGCTGGATCGCATACAAGATGCCGGGCAAGTCGCGATGGATAACTTGGCACAAAACTTGGGCAAGGGACTACTGAACCTGATTGCTGGGTTAAATCAGGTAGTAGCTGAACGAAACTATAAAATCAACGCTTCCCTGGATATTTTACCACCGATTTTACCGCGTGAGCTCCTTATGTTGAATGGAAGAGACTTCAATTCGATTGTGCGCGCGCAACGCGAACGTCTGGAGGCTCGTTGGGCCCCTGTTTCTGCGCAAGCGACAATGGATTTAATTGAAATGTAGTTTCGCGATCTGTAGAAGGCTTACCGCGAAGAATAGCTTTCCCGTAACGCGATCGATGCATGCACTTACCAGACGCCTTTCGATAAGGCATGGGAAATTACCAAGTGTCGTTTTCAAAAACTTAGAAAAGTTTTTCGGTGGGCTCGCAAGCGCATTCACAGGGACGTCATCCGTGGAAAGCGACTTCTCCATTCTCAAACGGGAGAAGAATATTTACCGCATGAGCTTGACGTACTTCTCTCTGTAAGGCGTGATGCACGCGCGGCAGTTCAAGCGCCTACAAAGCCTCACATTCTGATCATCCGCAATATGTTGCTATAGAAATTTTGAAGACGTATACTTCCTTTTATCCATTCTTTTTCACTTTCTTTTTGTGTCGTCTCGAGGGAATCTTCAGTGCCAATACAGACCGCCGACTTCTTTCGAACTGATTTCAACGTTTCTTGAAATGTATATAAGAATTCGTAAATAGCCGTATCTAGGGTCGAACCCCACGCCGTAAATAGCTTAGTTACAGCTAATATGGATCGTCCGTATATAGGGAGGCCTGCTCATGATGGATCAATAACAGAGCGACCTTTGCGCCGCTTCATCTCTCGCATAAGAATGTAAGAGCATCTGGAATACCCCGCGCGAAATAGTTTCTTGCCATATCATCCATGTTGAAAGCTCGGTACGTCGTAACGAGACCAAAAGACTTTCTGTGCATCGATGGTAATGGTTGATTAGAAAAGTTGATATTGGACAGAGGTTTTAAGCATACCTTTAATCAATACTGACTTTTGTAAGTGCTAAGTGACTCAAGAAATTTCTGATAGTGATTTGACACGTTGGCGTGTTCGTCTTCTCGCCTATTCATCTCACGAGTGCAATCATCAACCCACACAAGATACAAACTTGCCACATTTTTATCTTCACATCGGCGTCATTAGCAATGCTCTAAATTTGCGTACTCGTACAAGATCGATTACACGTCGATGCAAAAAATAGTAGCTGCACTCGTCGTCGCCCACGACACATACCTTATACAGAATATCAGCTTTTAGGCCATGCCATGTCCTCGCTTACTTTTACGTGAGTACGAGGATTCAGTTCTTGGTATCGCGCGCTCGGGTGTGGAGACTTAAAAAGACCAGCGTAAAGCGCCCTCGGCTGGTTGCCAACACACTATCGTGAACTCATCATTTATGATGTCGCCTTGAGTAGAAAAAGAAAGAAAGGCTCGTGCAACGTACCGGTGACAATCCGTACTTACATCGTGTCCCCAAATTGGTTTACAATGTCATATAACGATCCAGCCCCGTTTCATCATTCCCTTAGATTTATCGGCCACCTAAATGATTGATTGGCAGTTGCCTGGTAAGATAATATCACTTTGAATTTACCTTCGAGAAGAAAGCACTTGTTGGTCATCCCAAACCATTTTCAATCCAGGTCGCATGTTTGAAATTGCATGCGGTGAGCAGCCAAAGCGGCCAAAGCGGCATAAGAACGCGGCTACACGGATGCGCGCAGCTTCTATGAGATAGCTAAATATATAGCAGTATGCTATCATTCGTATGATGAACTTATGAGCAGCCGGCAACGAGAATTGTTGCTAGTACCAAGAGCTACGATGACCCTGATCGAAAGGCCATCTATTCGATCGAGTCGGATGTGGTCTTCGACCACTCAGGAATGCCTACTTAGCCTTCTGTTATAGCGAGGGTGCGGAGGTGACGGCTCAAGAGTCTCGTCGTGGTGATTATTGTCGTGACACCATTTACAAGAGGATGATGGAACCGTCCGGTGAGACGAACTGTAACATGCCACCCTCGGCTTGTACTGATACCATTATAAGATACCTGCGCAATTAAATGTATAGCAGCTGCTCGTGTTTTCACGTACACTGTAACACCTGAGATAGCAATCCTCCTAACAATAATTAAATAGTGAATAAAAAATCAGAACTGTACACATTTTATTTAAATTAATAAAACTCTCTTTGATCTCATCTTGACGGTATCAAATCAAACAAATATGTAA